ACTCGGATGGATCCTCTGTACACGACAAATCAGAAACTTTGTGCTAGGCATTGGCATACATGTGATGGACCTACCGAAACCACCACCAGGCACCGACTCCTCCTTGCCAAACTTGTCATATCGCTTGCGGAGATCTTCATTGCTCAGGACTTGGTACGCCTCACCGATCTATAGTAGCAGGACGTTAGCCTCGTGCAATGTGCATCATTTCTGAAGTTTCGCAATCATACCGCCTGAAAGCGTTCGTGCGCGGTTTCATCTCCAGGATTCTTGTCTGCGAGAACATATTAGAAGGGCTGGAAAACAAATATAAGGTCAGAGGCAGTCAAACCCGGGTGAGTGACAATAGCCAGCTTCCGGTATGCCTTCTTGATTTCCAGTTCGGTGGCCGTAGGTGGCACACCTAGGGCGTCGTAGTAGGCAGTATCGGCAACCATCGCAGCGACCGAGCCTAACTTGAGAATAGAGTGGGTTGAGAGAAGATATAAATTCAAATGTGTGAAAGGTCTGACGGGAAAAACAATCGACCCGTGTTGTTTAGGCAGAACCTCAAGATATTTTTCGGAAGTTGGCGCTGATATCATGTGGGGGGAGACTTGTATGCATCGTTTGTTCCCAGTCACGTGTTAGCTAACTCTTCATTTAATCTGTTCTGGCCTTTTCCCCCTTTTCCTCCACCCCCAATCTGCCGTTCCCCCAGATTCTGTTGTTTTTTGTTATTTTATTCTCGCCTTAATTCCCTTTTTTCCCCGGATCCTGTTTCTATTGAAGATTGGCCTACTTTGCCTTCTACGAGTTCCTCAATCATCCGGCTTACGCGCCTCTTCCCCGCACATCATGGGTCTCATCGGCAATGCTCTCTACTACTCCTTTCACCCCATGGAACTGAGGGCAATTCTCCAATGGTAAGCCCTGAAATGCGAAGTTGTCTATATTCTGGTTACGAAGCTAACCATCCACGTCGCATAGGAAAGTCTGGCACAACGCGCCACATGAGCGTAACGAGCAGAATGAGACCGAGAATCAGAAGATCTGTTTCAAGTTTTTGGATAAAACCAGCCGCAGCTTCAGTGCTGTTATCAAGGAGTTACATCCCGAACTGTTGATTCCTATCTGCGTTTTCTACTTGGTCCTCCGTGGGCTGGATACCATTGAGGATGACACTTCCATTCCTCTGGTTACCAAGGAACCTCTCCTCCGGGGCTTCAAGGATATCCTGACGCAAGATGGCTGGACTTTCACTGGGAACCGGCCAGAGGAGAAGGACCGTGAGCTGCTGGTTCAGTTCAACCACGTCATCACCGAGTTCATCAACATGAAGCCTGAATACCAAGCGATCATCAAGGACATCACCGGAAAGATGGGCAACGGCATGGCTGACTATGCCGTGAAGGCGGAGAAGGAGGATGCCAGTGTGAAGACCAAGGAAGAGTATGACCTGTACTGCTACTATGTCGCTGGATTGGTTGGCGAGGGCCTCACTCGCCTCTTTGTCGAGGCCGGGTTTGGTAACCCGGCTCTACTAAAGCGCCCTAACTTGCATAAGTCAATGGGTCTTTTCCTCCAGAAGACCAATATCATCCGTGACATCCGGGAGGACTTCGATGATAACCGACGATTCTGGCCCCAGGAAATTTGGTCCAAGCATGTCGACAACTTTGAAGATCTTTTCAAGCCAGAGCACCTTGACGCAGCCCTTAACTGCAGCTCAGAGATGGTCCTGAACGCACTGGAGCACGCCGAGGAGTGCCTGTTCTACCTGGCCGGGCTACGAGAGCAGAGTGTTTTCAACTTCTGTGCAATCCCACAGTCCATGGCTATCGCCACAATGGAGTTGTGTTTCCGCAACCCCGATATCTTCAAGCGAAACATCAAGATCACCAAGGGAGACGCATGTGATCTCATGCACAAGTCTACCCAGAGCTTGTCAGTGCTGTGCGACAGCTTCCGCCTGTATACGCGTAAAATTCACAAGAAGAATACCCCCAAGGATCCCAACTTCCTGAAGATTAGCATTGTCTGCGGACAGATTGAGAAGTTCATTGAAACCATCTTCCCGACGCAATCCGCCGAGGCGGCTAACCATAAGGTCGCTGGTGAGCTCACTGCAGCCGAGCTACAGAAGAAGAAAGAAGACGACGAGAACAAGAATGATGTCTTCTTCATCATGGCTCTCATGGGTGTTATCGTTTTCATCATCGCTTCTCTCATGATCTTTACCGCCTGGATGCTGGGCGCTCGGTTCGACCTTGCCTGGAAGGAAATCTCGTCGGGTAACTTCCGGCCTCCGGTTAAGAACCGCTTTGAACACACGGAGCTTTGATTGTCTTATTATTCTCACATCAATGGCGTTACGACCTTTTACTGTCTAATATTTTCGATTCCCCCTCCCGGCGGCATATGTCTTACTATTTCCTCGCCCTCTCCCGATGTGTATTGATAATAACATACCTTTTTCTTTTTTTTCTCTTTTTCTTCCGCCTGACACATTTACCAACCCAGCAAATTTTCTAGCACGGATGTCAAATTGCGATCTGGTCCTTTCATATCTAAGGTTGCGCCGAAGAAGTGCTTATATCAAAATGGGGATTTACCTCCCTAACCAGTGAGTACTAGATTTTTGTCCAACGGTTCGCCCGAGTTGTCAAACATCCATTGAAGATCTGGAATATCCCGTATATGTAGATTTTTTTGTATGTCAATAGAAAATGAAATCATCAACCGTGGGAGATTGAATCTTATGAACATTTCCAAGAGAACTAAAAATAGACAGAACTGGAGCGTAGGCCCCGAATCAGAAGTCTCTGCTTTCTCATCAACCCCAGATTGCCCTCCGCGCTACTCCGTACTCCGTACTGATATCCTTTAGTTATAACTGTCTTTTATTTCTCGGCAATAAATATCTTCCAACTGCCGTCCCATGCATTTTCGCTTTCCTCGTCCATTACTCTTGACATCTTTTCCTCGGCCAGTGTTTCTTCGTCGAAGCGTACTCAATCCAATGGGTTCCAGCAAGATGGCCTCTTCTTCTGGGGACTCAGGCGACTCTCCATTGTCCGCGACCGATTTCCGGACTTATAATCGCATGTCGGAGCAAATGGAAGGATTTGTAAGCTTAGCAGTACATCTGCGTATTTCCTTTACACAGTTCCACTAACTCCCATGCAGCATAGCCATTTCCGTTTAACATGGAACCAGCTCTGGGAGGCATGCGAAAGCTCTGGGAAACGGGGACTCTCAGCCCGCCAGATGATCATGATGGGCCTTCAATTCTGCTCACAATTGGATTTCCACCACTCCATCGAGGAGCAACACATCTTCCCCGTGCTGGCGAAAAAGATGCCTGAGTTTCGAAAGGAGCTCGAGCTATTGAGTCAGCACAGACAGATTCATGCGGGACTTGAGAAACTGGAGAAGTATCTTGAGAAGTGTCGGTCCGGCGAGGAAGATATGCGCCGCGAAGAGGTCAAGCGGTTGATGGATGGGTTTGGCAAGGTTCTGTGGACGCACTTAGACCAAGAGGTTCAAACTCTTGGAGCTGCCAATATGCGCAAGTTCTGGTCTCTTGCCGAGATGCGTCGGCTTCCTATGTGATGCTGAAGAGCGGGGATAAAATCAGTTGAATGCAAGTTTTGACGATTTCATGACTCTTTCTCAATATAGTAGTTATATATATATATTTTTTCATGTCCGTTTGATTCAATCTAAACCTTCTTATTTCCTATTCCGTTTTGAAAAAGGCAGTTTTGTTTTGTTCCTTAAGGGGTCCGATTCTGCTTCACCGATATCCGTGCAGTTTGAACTGGCAGCCACTGCATAAAAATAGTTGGCTCCGCGTCAAGCGACCGCTGGTAACAGGTTCTACTGTTCCCGGAGGCTTGACCATGACGGACTAAGGAATGTGAAACACGTTGTCATCCCTTGCTTGGTACCTAGGTATGTATGCACAACCGCACCCAGGTGGCATTGCAAGAAGGCTGTCACGAGTTTTTCTGTTCAACACCCTCTCTATCACTGGACCCAGTTTAGTTCTGTTTTCTACTGATCATGACGTCTTCCAGAAGAAGGATCGTCAGCATCGGTAAATGCATTGAAAATGCCACGGTCAACAGTACGAAGTGGTCACATACAACCCACCGATATCGAACAACCTCAAAGCCTACATATTGTCACTGTAATTGTTGCACGGCCCACCACCACCTACCCGGTGTTGTTGGGCCACACTCGATCCCAAATTTTCAGCCGATCCCAAATTCCAGAATAAGTATCTTTTGTATGGCAACTCCATACAAAAGGTACATAAACACGATATAGTCATAACCTCAACTCTCTAAATAAGCAGACCAGTTTAAGGAAATTTAAACAGACAGGTTATTAAAATAAATCGGGCTTAACCGATCTACTACTATAAAGAATGCTAAATATATAGTATAGAAGTGTAGGAAACTTTTTAGAACTCACCATGTATAAGAATTTGTATGTAAAAGATTAACCATTCTCTTACTCCACACATACATGATTAAATTTACTAGAATTGATACTAAGTAATTGAGGCCTTATTTACACTATGTATATCTTCCTATATTTTTCCTAACTAGTTTGAGGGTTGAAAAAATTGGGGTTATGACTATGTCGTGTTTATGTACCTTTTGTATAGAGTTTCAATACAAAAGATACTTATTCTGGAAATTGGGATCGAGTGTGGCCCACCAATACCGGGTGGTGGTCCACGGGCCATGCCATGATTAGGTAACATATTGTTGGGTGCCTTGGTGTCTGAGGCATGTAGACCAATATGGGACAGATCCACTCCTATATAAGTAGATAGTTTCTCTCTCTCCCTCCTTCTCTCTTCTCTCTCTCTGTCCACTTCTTACATTAAGAATCTACATGCATGGTTTCTTCATCCTGACTCTGTAGATTTCACAATACATATTTCCTCTGCCGCTGCTTTTACGAGAGCACTCTTAGGCTTAGTGAGCTCCTTAGACATTTTCAACATGGCTTTGGTAAGTCAAAGATTCCACCTGGGCATTTACGAGATTTCGGGTCACTAATGTCAATATTATCAGAATGATTACGATATTCCCGCCATTCAACAAGAGATCAACCGTGCTCCTCGGGCTAAGGCACGAAAGTGTCCTATATGGTGTCCGGAACACCATCCTTACATGGCAATTCCCTGTCCAACAGGGCTATATAACACGCCCCCAAGACCGCCATAGCAGACAGGCTGGGCGGAGGGGGTTTTCAGACTTACATACGTACCAGTATCCGGCACAAGGGGCGGCCAGCAAATTTCTGATTGTGCAATGCAAGGGAACTGGGCTGGAAACGCGAGCCTCGACCTGTACGGGCGACTAAGTATGCCACCGACACATAACTCAACTATCTCTCTCACTTTACCAAAACTAATGTCTGAATTGAATCTGAAATGAATCTGAAATGAATCTGAACTGAATCTGAATTGAATCTGAATTGACTTATATTGTATTGTAGAGAGAGTGATGTAGACCTTGGAGCGGAGGCCTGATATCGAGCAGACCTCTATTCCAAGGGTCCTATATATCCCCTCTATCCTTCGAGCTTACGCCTCGTCTATTCCCACTTCTTGGGCCAGGAGGACGTCTACGTCCCCGGTCTTCATCTATCTATATAGCTCACTAAATCGGCCAGAATCCTTTAAGCTAGAGGAGTTGAGAGACAATATATTGATTGACGTTTTAGACATTAAGTATATTAACACTTTGATGGGGGCCCGTACCACTCCAATTCCCAGCCAGTCCCATCCACGACGTGGTATAGGGGGTAGCCCACTGTGTGTTTTGACTGGCAGAAGTGGCACGGAGCGGACAAGTCCTCTGACCAGAACCTTATGAATGAAATTGCCATACGGCACATCCATCTTCGTGAAGCCCGGCGGCTTCTCGAACACAATCCTCCGTCGCGGTCTGATCGTGTTTCCGAACATTTGCTCCTTGATCACAAAGCGCTTTCCTGGTACCAGGTTCGCTATTTTGTGGGCGAGTTCTTTATCCGGTATCGTCTCAGTCTTTTCCGTAATGAATCCAGTCAGCCCCCCAATACAGTAGGGCTCGGCCTTATATAGTTAGGGTTCACCTTCTCCATCAGGGACTGAAATTTTCGTCCCGACAAGGCGTTGCGCCGAATCCAGGGAATGAAGTTGGTTATCTTTCCGGCACTCAACTCATCCGCAGGTTTTAAGTTGGGAAGCGCTGCGCTGATCGCTTTGGTGATGGTTAGGAATCGCCAGTGGATCTAGGGTGCGAAGGGGCAGAGCGGCCAAAGGTCAAATGCCTGAATTTTTAGGCTTAATGATATAAAAATACCTCCTTTGGTCGGCCGGCGGCGCGCAATGGGGCATCCGTTATTGTCGAACTATATGTTGTCATGGTAGGGTAATTCATGGCCTTTGGAGTACGCTGCGAGTTCGACTTTGGTCGGTCGTAACAACTTCAACGTCGAGAAATGGGTGTATATAGAGATTTGTATGGCGGGAATAGCGTTAACGCCCGCACTCGGGGGTGTCTTGAGAATAATCCACCTTCCGTCCGCGTACTGGGGACCTCATCCCCGCCACGGTTTTCCGCCTGTTTCGCTCTCTTTGTTTTGTGGATCTTCGCTGTCGCAGTCGATCCGGTCCTCGACGGTGCTAAGCTTGCCGTAGTCGACGATGCTCGGGTGGAGCTCGAGCCCGGACGCTTCCATCTTCTCTGACAACCCTTGGATCGACCTCTTTAGGCGTTTCTTTTCCTTTTTAGACTTCGGGAATTCCCCCGCCTCGCCCTTCTTCCGCTTCTTCAAGCTTTCCATAAACGCTTGTATAGTATCCTCGGCTACATCGCACTTGAATCGATAGCTATATTCAATATAATCGGCAGATCCCTTGGCCGCTAGTTTAGGGGTAGGTGAATCTTTATAGGGTAGGCTGTTGTAGGTAATAATAACCAATGACAGAGTTGTGTGCCGGTGACATACTTAGTCGCACGAAGGTGTGCAACAACTCGATCAATATCTTCCTGCAACCCACCGCATCCGGCATATCAACCCATCGCCGGTGTATGGGATAATTGCGGTGGTTATGCATATGCGTCTATATCAGTACGACGACCCAACTAACAGTGTATGGTGTTGAGCAACCCGTTGAACTGGGTTACTAGTATGTGAGGAGAAAGCAGTGGAAGAATCATTAATTGATTAAACTAGAAATGCAGGGGTCTATATACCCCGATAAAACCATCTAAACATTGCTCAATCAAATAACAAACAAAGGGCTCAGTCCGCAGCAAACATACAAATGACAAACATGCATGCATGGGAGATTGTTCAACATTTGGAACATTGTTGATCCCAAGGTCCCCTCTACAACTCGCTCCTTGCACCTGTCGCATGATCACATTGCTATCCAACAGATACTCAACTTTATCAAGGCCAATCACTGAATACATAGCTAGTCATATGGGCATGTATCGATACCGAATAACAAACTTGATTTTCCGTGTGAACTAAAGTGCCATAACTCGATATGCCAAAGCAAGAAGGAACGAGGTAACCTGTCATAATATCTCCCAGCAAAAGGTCTCTGTCGAATTTATTGAAAATTTGCGATGATCTCCTTGATTAGTCCAACTAATCGCTCGCGGTGTGCCAATCCACTGGACTTATACCATTTAGCGCAAAGAAGGTCCACCAACCCTAGCCATAAGACCTGCTAGTCCACCGAATCAGTCTCATTCTCTAGCAAATCTACCTCGAAGAACCAATCACGTTTAGATTGTAATCGGCTTCTCTAAAAGGCATCGGGTAAATTCAATGTAAACACGGATAACATATTGCGTATATTCTTTATATCGGATCGAGTGTAGACAATAGGGCAAATGATTTCCGCCACTACAGACGCGCTCGAAATCAGTTTCACCTCTTTACTCTCTTCAATTCTTTGTTGAACTCTGTTTTGCATGACGCCATCCCTTTTACGGTTAGCCTACCCCTGACCCATACTCTTGGCAGTATCTTAGTACGGTAATAAATAATGGCATAAAATAGCTATCGTATCATGGATGTATTGGCCATGCCCTGTCTAGAACCTCTCACTTGCAAACAAGCCAAACAGACTAGTTGGCAGGATTCGGTGGGTTAGTCTGGCCACTCTACCTCTCATCTTGGTCAACCACATTCACTCTACTAACACCGTGGACGAGCGAGACATACGTAGATACAATACTGGTGGGGTGAAATATCTCTTTACAATCGACTTATCCGCTCTACAAGATGCTGGATTCTTTGGGTCACACCCTCTGTTGAGCACTCGATGACCAGAATGTGCTGAAGTTTGATTTACTAGAAAATTGTGGACAATTATTAACCACTCGTCTAACACTAGTAGGAGCGCTCTAATATTTCCGAATTGGTTAGATTGTGGCGGATGTTGATAATAGCCTGGAGCTTGGTTATTTCTAGAAGAACGATTAAAAACTACGGGCGCTCAATTATTGCTAGCTGGAGGCAAGGTGACAGTACCTTAGAAGTCATAGACGCTAGATCATGCGCTTAGTTTCTCCTAGGTGATTAACTACTGGTTGCCCTAGCTTTTTAATGTATTGATCTGCTTAATGGGATCACGCAGGTAGTCCCGATTTAGGATTATACATTGTCTCACGACTTCTTTCTATTAAAGATGATTATGGGCATAATCGAATAGACTATTCAAGATGATACGTGTATAGGAACGGCACAGGGATCTGAAGTAATATAAACATTGATCAAAGGGCAGGGAGGGGACTCGGTTCTGTAACCGCGAGAAATATGATACGTGACGAACAAGCGATGACCAAAGTTGTTACAGACATAGCAAAACAAGAGGGCTTAGTTGGTCGATATTCGGCAGGCAACCAAAGGAGGTTGACTCCATTATAGGTTACCCAGGAAAGGTCATCATTCAAACCATACCCGTACAGTAGATTTCGAAAACGGATTCCCCTGTGGACACTCATGCTTTGTTTATCGGCCCGCACCCGAAACAACCCTAATCCTTATTAGGTTACTTTAAAAACCAATCCGTGCTTTGCCATATGTATCGTAGTATTTTCGTGTCTAATGGGTCATTGTAAATTACAGTACATACTATAAATTTCAATTATTAATAACTAAGTCTCCAATGTAACTAGTTAGAAGTTCTGAAAGTTTGATCCTTATCCGGCTTAACTGAATATCGCAACTGGCCTCGAGTAAATAATCTCTTAGTGAACAGTAAAACTCTAATTCGGATCGACTCCATCCCTAATACCCCTGTGGGATAGAGCTCAGCTAACACACAGGAACCAGGGCCGGTGGGGGAGGCTGAGCAGCTTGAGGTGCAGGTGAAGACTCGCAAGACACAGCTCGGAGAGGAACATCCCGACACGCCGAACATTATGAGCTCGAGCTCACAAAGATAGAAAGGCATTTGCCAGAGTCCTACGAAGTTTGTTTATTTGATCTTTGCTTTACTAGCATTTTCGCAACCCCTGGTCGAAATACAGCTAACTGCAGTCAATTTTCGCGGTCTTGTCGAGAAATTCTCTATAGCCGCGCCGGGGCAGCCTAGATTCTCGAACGGCGTACGACGAACAGCCACGAAAGGCTTCATATACGTTCAGTCTCGACTTTACCGAGTTAAAAAGTTTGGACATGCAGTCGTACGCATAAAGTGTACTAAAATGAAGGAAAAGTGTGGAAGTGTCAATTACAAGAGGATTCGGGAAACGCTTCTAGCATATCATTTTGTGCTCTGATAGTATGCCTCGTAAAATTCTCAACATTCTCCGGCGCATTACTCTCGCCTGTTCTGGTTTCTAAGCGCCAATAATTGTTTGCTTCGCAAATTGTACCCTCATCGTCTACTTCTGCCAATACTTAGGTCAAGATGTAACAGCTACCTCGACTGGGTTTAGGCACTGCATATGGTCCAAGATATTGTCTCTTTTCTTGTTCATTAATCGGCACCTGTAGAAATGAAACAGGCGACGAAGGACGGTTTGGGTTTCTGATATCTCTGAATTTGCTCATCACGTAGCCAGCATCGCCTAGGTAGCCGGAGTCCTCCAAAGGTGGCGCTTCCCCGGTTTCCCTTGGGAAAGAAACATCTTCGAGATCCAAAATCACAATTTTTCCGTTGTCGCAAAGCAAGAAATTCTCCGGTCTTAGGTCTCCATATTCCACGCCATGATTTTGAAGAACGGAAAAAACTTCTTGAAGTTGACTCTGCAATGTGTCTTCTGAAACTTCGGTCTTGTTGCGAGCGAGTTCATATAGTGTAGAACCAGAAACCTCTGATAGAATAAGTGCAGGAATCCCGTTGAGTGAGCCTTCGCCAAAAAGTCTCGGTATGATTGTTCCTTGAAGATTTCCCAATCTCTTGTAAGCTTCCTTCTCACGCTGAAACTGGGCAATCCAGCCGTCCTTCTGCTGCTTGACAATGACGGAGTCCACATTCGCTGGTAAAGAATTGTGACATGAGGATGGCTCAGTCTCGAGGCGGTGAACTGTCTGACGTCGTTGATCCAAAGTCTTCAGCGTTCGCGCGGCGATGGGCAAGCCGTCTAGATAGACTGTCGATCCCCACGTGAGCTCGGGCCATTCATCCTTTGTCAAGTTCAGAGAATACGGCTTACATTTGGGAGATATTCATCTTGAGACATTATAGACGCCTTGTTGAAGGAGGGAGGGTAATGTACGAAAGTGAGGAAGAGCAAGGGGGCTATAGCTAAGTCGTCGAAGTACCCCGCTATCTGAGCGGTATCGAGATATAGGGTATCAATCGTATGATTATTTCCAATATATTAGTCATGTGATCTGAAGTTACAATACGTTTCGATACTCAAAAATGGCCTAAGCCTAATACAGACTAGCGTGTTTCAGGATAAAGTTTGGGAAAGAAACGAAGAGAGTAAAGTGGTGAAACTGATTTCGAGCGCGCCTGTAGAAGGGATATTTCGAGTAGAAGTCTATTAAGATAGGAGCTTTTGCGTTTTTCAACCATTTCCTAGGCAAGTTGGATTGTACTTTGAACCTCGGATATAATCCATAGATTGACAAAGATATCACAGCCGAAAAAGTAGCTCTTATATCTCACGTATAGAATATCCCGGAGCTAGGCACGATATATAGTATCGATATCAGTATTACCCCATCCTTTATAGGTTTTCCAATACTACTTCGCGGCCTAAATAACTTAATCAAGTATCTCCTCGGTCTTCTCGATCAATCTCTTTTTCCCTATTAGATAGCTAAAGATCTCCTAACAATAACAGTGAAACATATATCCTATATTTTTGTCTTTATAAAGACTTGGGTCCGTCCACCAACCTCCTAAGTAGAAATGTGTGAATATCGTGTTATTATACTGTGGTACTATCTCTCGTCTAGAAACCCGTGCGGTGATTTTGTCTCTAGGAAGCTAGTACGGCTGACCACTAGGGCGTGCAACTAGGCCAATTCCCGTAAGAGTATATCTTGAAGAATCAGTATATCTAACAGCTTAGATTTACTATTAGCTTGAAATTTCAATATTTATATAAGAATGTCAACTTACCTCCTCGCTGATAGCAAGCTAATAACCATGGAAATTTAGAGAAAGTTTTATTCTCGACTTCGGTCGATGGCACTATAATATGCTTAGGAATCGGGGATTTGCGATGGATTTCCCATTGAGGCTCCTTGAGCATATCTAGGTGATCTCTGCTCATTGTTGCTCCGTTAGCCGTCAAAATGTGTATACCACAGAGTAGACATGTCTCCACAAAAATACGAGGCTCATCGGATTTTGAGCGTTGGGCCGCCATTTTGCAGGGAATATTGCAGGGGTAAAAGGAAAACCGTATAGGAGACAACCCTAGAGGAAATAAAAGACAGAGTAAGTAGGATGACGGAGTAATGAGCGGCACTATCGGATTTGGAACGTGCATATCATCAGCCTTTAAGGCATATCATTCACTTAAAGATTAATCCCACAGGTTGGCAACTATAGAAACAAAAAAGTCAGTTGCACCACGATGATGAGATCATGAACACATTATATTCCAAAAGTTTTAATATACCTAGGTATACACTATTAAGATCAAATCATAGTAATATAATCCAGGTACTTAGGGGCCTAAGTGTTGAGGCTTCTACAATATGTAGGCCGGAAAGTGAGGAGGGAGACGCTCTGGTGAGGGGTTGATGCCTGAGGCAGAAATATTTACCCTTTGGCAGCACTCGTGGTTTTTGGTAACTACGACATAATGAGGTCGTTAAATAACCTTCTCCACAAGCTTGACTCCCTCGCGTGCCACAGCTTCTCTAATGGGATCGCATATCTCCTTGCTGTATGGCGCAAGGATACCTGGCATGTGAAGCGCCGGGTGACCATCCAGTAGTAGCTGAGTTGCCACACCGCAGGTGACACCAACCGAAAGCGCCATAGCTGAATATCTTTCCGGATCACCTAGTAACTCGAGAGTGCTTGTGATGGTGTCCTATATGTACAATTAATGATGGCAAATCTTGACAATTGGGAAGTGATCGTACCTTTTTACCATCCCTCCACTCAACGATGAACTTGTGCTGAAGCATGACCACGTCCCGCTCGCCAGACTTAAAACCGAGGAGCTTTGCTAGCTGGTGACAAAGAGTGTCAAAAATGTTGCCATCCTTGATCATGGCTGGTTCGGTTGAGAAGAGACCCAACCATCGCAGGCCAGAAATTATTCTTTCACTTTCGGCCTCGGTTGGAAATTTGTATACTTCGTTGATGCGCGCAATGAGAGATCTGTGGCACATGAAAAGGTCAGTGTCGGTTTATAGTCCTGTTATTCCGGGAAAGATAGATACCTCTCATCCGAGCCAGGAGAATTGACTAATCTCTGTTGAATCTGAGCCCATGTGATTTCTGGCTTCAACCAGCTCTTTTCTTCTTGGTCAAGCCAGCCAATGCTGGCCAGGGCCTGGATGAATTCGGGATTTCCCTGGTATCTCAGTGATCCTCTGATGACAGTTTCCGCTTCCGGGATGTTGTAGAACTCTCTGAAAGGGACAGAATTGCGATTTGGATATGCCACGAAGGAGTATCCATCCATAACGTAGTAGGGCTTGGCAACGGACATGAGTTCTGTGGCGGGTATGTCTACCTGCTTGCCATGGCGCAGAAACGAAGCAGAGTTGCGTTGGGAGAGGATTGCACCGCGCGGGGACCAGGAAAACTTGAAACCAAGCGGGTTGTTGGCGCACTCGGGAGCGGGTAAGCCTCCACAGTAGGAATAGAATTCCTTGACCTGTGTCGTATTTGACGGTTAGTTCGGATCATTTGATATGATCGGAAATGGTACATGCCTTGCCACCTTTCTCATGAACTTCATTGATTGTTTTGATAGCATACAGGTGATCAACACCTGGATCAACCCCTACCTCGTTCAGAACGGTGATTCCCGCTTTCTTGACGGCGTCATCCAAGGCTCGCATCTCAGCCGAGACGTAGCTGGTAGTGACAACATTGGTTCGTCCTTTGATAGCTGACTTAATCACAGCCGCGTGCTGTGTGTACGGGATGAGCGAGATGACGAGGTCGTGGGCTGCGACTTGAGTATCGAGGTCGGCTGCAGAAGCCACGTCTAGGGAAAGCGGCTGCGTTCTGGGAAATTCAGACGAGAGAGCCTGTGCGGCAGAAAGGGTTCGGCAGGCTAGGTGACATCTTGAATCAGCTTCATTGGAGCGTAGTAAAAAAAAGCGAAGGAATCGTCTTACCAACAGTGACTTCATTGTGAGGGTTGCGGGTAAGATACTCAATGCAGGGAGGTGCGACCATTCCACTCCCAAGAACCAGAATTCTCTTCTTCTCAGGCATTTTGATGCTTAAACACGGCAACCTTCTGGGGCTGTCGAACTTCAAGCAGTAGCTGGGTTAAGAACAAGAACCGTGATCTGGAGTTTGCACAGAGGGGATGGGGTTGATCTCGTGATTGAGTGAGTCATCTATGAAGTGATCCTCCAGGGCTGCAGATACGGCTGTGCTAATAAACTGGACGCCAATAAACTGGACAAAATGTCTACATAACTACGTAGTTAGCTGGCAAGTTGGATGTACTAATTTTAGCGGACTCTGGCTGGTTAGTTAATGGAACATCTCCTGTCTGCGGATATGACTCTATATTTCGTGTTTACGTACCTTTTGTATGGAGTTGCCATACAAAAGATACCTTGTTTCCCAATTTTGGGATCGAGTGAAGCTAACCCTGGGTTGAAGGTGTTGGTGGACTTGGCACGATTAATGCATAACTACCTAGGTACCTAGCTCTCAATGACGAAAAGTAGACTAGTGTTAAAACCAACGATCCGATTGGTCCACTCAGACCTGAATTGATGGCACAGGAATGCTTTTCAACCTGGCGAGCGTCCTGATAACTTCCTGAGCAATATCCCCTTTGTAACTAATGCTTGAGTTTGATCTCGGAGATTCCATCAAAGAATGGCCAAATGGTCACAGTGATCCTAGGATCAGCCGCAATATAAGCATTGAAATCCACCACAAGCTTCCCTGCTTCGTTCCAATGGTCAAGTCTCGCACCGTCAATGTTTGCAGGACTCTCTCCGACCACGAAGCCTCGTGCGAACACTGCAGCTCCCATAAGTATAAGCGTCATTACCTATCAAGCTATTTGTCAACGACATACCGTTATCGACTAGGATGATACCATCTTCGGCAAGTAGCACTCGATTGAGAATTTGCATGTATACAGTGGCTGTTGATTGGTATTTAGGACACAGTACTTCCGCCTACTAACTAGTTAGCCGAAATGTAACTGGGGCATGTGTAAGGGGGGCATGTAGCATATTACACATATTCTGTACTGTTAGGAGAGGTCTATGTGGTGGACGTCGAAGTGCATGGTGCCATGTGAGGTTAATCAATGGTTAAAGAAGCTAAGCTACAGAAGCCAAGAAAGAGACTAAGAAATCTGACATGTACATTCGCCAGTACGTTATCGGGGAACGTGAATGTACTGTTGACCGGGCATATTTGTAATGCATGGTGTTGTAACCTACAAGTTCAGATCAAGAACACCTTCAGCGGTGATCCTCCTGACTTTTACATATTTGTCTTGAGATACCTCTCATTCATTTGGTCAGTCCATTCCTCTTGGACATTCCCGGTACTAGCCGATTACTTTCACTTAACTAGCTAGACAATACTTCCTAGCGAAAACTCCCTCTCACAATCCCTGTCCCTCGTGCATCATTGGGACACGGCTTCGGAGTTACAGGGTAACTGGAGGCATGTAATTTCCCTCCCGTCTATGTGCGGGGATGCAGTCGATACCGTGATAACTCCAAAGTGTCTAACTACTGTTCTGCCTAAAGTAGTCCCACCAACCCAAGACTTGAAATTACGAGCAGTAACACTTTTGAAATATGGAGTGCGCTGTTGTAGGAAGGTTGCAGCTGAAGCGGTAGTAAAACTTTAGAAGTATCACTATACTCCCGAGCCAGACTACGTACGGATGTGATATAAATCGATAAGTATGAGGCTTATAAAATTTTATGGCCGGGATTCTTGTCGCCGAGGAAGAAGCATAGCTTGGCCAATGTTGAACGTTGTTTTCAGGAATCAGGCTTGGATATTTTAGAGAGGGGGACTAAAGACCAGAGTGATTGCTCATTGTACTTACTCGAAAAGGAGCGTGGTATCTGAACGTCTTGTTGGAAGTGAACCTGTCTAGGCTCCAAACTATGAGATTACGGGAATTTGGCGTAACAGTGAACAGACTTGAGGGAAACTATTCCAGTGGACAGCTTGCAACTAACACTATTTTGATTAATCATAGCCTCTCAGATCTCTTCAGCGACTTCACTTCATATCCACATTCAGACGAATCCTACCGTGTTGTTTCTCCACATCGCAACTCCGTAGGATCTCTGTTACAATCTACTGTACGATCGGTTGATACGAATCAAGGAGCGAATCGAGACCGACCTTACAGTGTTTGTCTTTGTAATGATCGATAGTAGCGATATTAAAACTATTATTCTAAGAGGGGTGGTTCGATATATATCCATTTCGGGGTGACATCACTTCAGAGAAAAATGTTAGAAAGGTGGGGGATTCCTGGGAGTCCGCCTTACCTCTTAAAGTAAATGGTTGGCTGAAACACCCTGTAAGCCCCAGGAGTATTGCAATGCACTGTGGTAGGCTCATAGGAGCACATGGCGGGCCACCAACTCCATTCAGCAATTGCGAAAAAAAAAGACTTGACATTATACGCTCAGGAAGGGCTTCAGATATGTGCGCTCTTTGGAAAGAAGTAACGAACTAATCCATCTTCGTTTCCTGCTGCTTCAGTTTGTCTTGTTAGTTATAGGGCAAGATTGTAGACCAAGTAGATTCGCCCACTGGCCATCGTCCTAGCAGAGGTCTAAAGCCCGATGCGCATTGTGGGGCAAATCAATTAAATGATCCTGGGAACAAAGGCAGAAATGGGAGACCGACAGGTCTAGAGCGAAGGGTCACATTGACGACGCCAATCTTTTTCTGATGGGACGATGCGGGTGATATAGAAAAAAGCTACACGTGAGGTATCTAGCGCGTTGTATTTTATGGACGTGGCTTACTCAGGCCGCTCATGCCTACGCTCAGGTCATGTGCGGTCCCGAGAAGAGTCTAGTGCCTAATATATACCGCTGCAGCGACAATCGGACGTTCCGATTGTCCCTATGATCTTTTGGCCAAGTGCCCAGGTGCCCTGGTGGTAAAATACTCTTATGTAATCTCACAGGCTCCGTAGGCGAATCAGGTGACACTCAGTGAGCACGTGATCTCGGGAAATTAGATCGCTTATGTAATGCTCAGTCAGCGCCCGGGCGGACCTCGGAGGGCGCTCAGGGGCGTGCTCAGATCTACTGAGTGAGCAAAAAGCGGCAAGGCCTGAACACTAATACGGAAAGAGAACGCCAACCTTGGAAGAAGTGAGGAAATCAAGTATATAGGTAGGGATATTAAAACGGTGTACAATATGCATTGTTAGTCTTGAATGAGGCACGTGTCACTCCAATCTGGTGAATCTCGTGGCAGATATCGGGATCGCCGATCTTCGTCTGATCCGTCGTGGCTCCGCTGTCAGGACTCAGATGTTTCTGTCTTGAGGAATGTGCCTTGTCACGGAACCGCGCAAGCTCGGCTGAGTTTCTCACTTGGTCCAGATCTCACATCAAGACGATAACGGAAAGGCAACCTTGGCTTGGACCATGGACAATCAGCGGGAAAGAGGGAGGATCAACACAACTACGCAATTGCAGGCCGCAAAATCGTGAATCGATGCTACTCAAAGCCCAAGAATAACTTGCCTTTCTTCCCCACATATCCACTCTAGCGGGTCCATCATGGTATCTCATCTTGTGCTTGGGGTCATCAGTACCACGCCACGAGCTCCATTTCCCCATGCGGATTGGACATGATGTCGTGCCGCATGCAATTTGCATAAGATGCAGGATATAAGTACCATCAAGGGTCGGCTCAAGAGATACCAGGCTAGTCATGTCATAGCTTCATCCCCTTGCTATCCATACCGTTCCAAGATCTTCCCAATCCCAGTCCTGCCACCGCCAATATGAAGTTCACAACCACCACGATCCTAGCTACCGCTTTACTAGCAGGCAGCTCTCTCGCTGCCCCTCGCAACGGACTTGTTGACCGCCTGCAGGCCCGTGGCGCTCTGTCACGTCAGTCACTACCCGCCGAAAAGAAGGCCGTTCTGCTCAAGGAAGGAACCGAGGGCACCAATGTCCAATACAGCAAGAACTGGGCTGGGGTGGTGCGCGAGAAGCCACCCGCCAGTGCTACCTACTCCGCCGTGTCTGCAACATTCACCGTCCCCGAGCCAACGGCCACCGATGACTCTGGCGATATGCAGGCTGTATCTGCCTGGGTCGGTATTGATGGTGACACTTACACCGAGGCCATTCTACAGACTGGTATCGATGCCTATACCGAGAATGGCAAACAGACATTTGACGCTTGGTACGAGTGGTATCCATTAAGTGCGGAGAATTTTGACCTTGGATTGTCCGCTGGCGACGTTGTCGTCGCGAAGGTCGAGGCATTTTCGCCCAGCGAGGGTGTGGCCATCGTCGAGAACAAATCGAGCGGTCAGAGTGTTACCAAGACTCTGTCTGCACCCTCGAGCTCCGCCACCCTTGCTGGCCAGAATGCCGAATGGATAGTTGAGGACTTCAACACCGGTGATACCATGGTTCCCTTGGTTAACTTCGGTAAAATCGACATTACGGGTGCCCAGGCCGAGGCCGGTGGTAAGGGATATGGTGTCGACAACGCTGCCGTTCTGGATATACAGCAGAATGGCGAAGTGAAGGCCCATGTGGAAATCCAGAGTGACACTGAGTTCTCTGTTACGTACCAGTAACTCTGTATGTATATCCATGGAGACTTTTGATTTTGGAGTTGATGGTTTGGCGTTTTGTACAATGGATGATATTCAACGAGACAAGAGAACATTTGTCATCAATAAGTATTTTTGTTTTAATTCAATTTATATAAAAAAAAGAACGATGATTTACCACTGCATATTACTCCGAGAGGAGGGTCACTGTCTTATGGCTGATTGTAGAAGTTGAAAGTGAAGAAACGAACATGAGAGACGGTGAATCGCACCTTTTCCTCTCGGCCAATTATGAGTCATCGCGGTTGTCTCTTACCTTCAACTTTAAGATCTACTGACTTTTGAACGTCTGGAATCCATCGTCTTTCTGCTCGTCATGAAAATCCAAATAGAGCCAGCACAATTCCCCGAAGACGCCGATTCCATCCTGTCATTATTTTCTGGCTATGCCGCATCCCTCGGCATCGACCTCACCTTTCAATCTTTCCAAGAGGAACTTGACTCTCTTCCTGGGAAATATGCCCCATCACAAGGGGGATCTCTCTTAATCGCACGAGCAGACACCGGTGCAAATAACATGAACGGACTAGTCGACTCAATATCTTCCCGGTTTCCCTTTGCCCTCGGATGTGTGGCACTCCGGCGCAGCTCCGATGATTGGTGCGAGATGAAGCGTCTGTATGTTCTCAATGAAGTTCGTGGAGAACGACTGGGTGAAAAACTCGTCGAAGCGATCCTCGCGCAAGCAAAAGAATTGGGCTACCGCGGGATGCGCCTAGACACACTGCCTGAAATGACAGTGGCACAACGGTTATATCGGAAATACGGATTTGTGGATATTCCACCGTATTATGATACTCCAATCCAAAGAACGGTGTTCATGGGGTGTGAGTTTTTATGATCATGATACCTTGATCTATCTCTTCTTCTCCCTGGCCTGTCTATATCACAAGGGAAAGACGCCAAGAAGGCGAAAAATGTACCCAACTATGCAGTGTCGATCATGTCGGCCCAACGATATTTAATCCCTTTTTATGCATCCGGTGTCTTCCGTTTTATCCCCAAAAGAATTGCTATGACAATCTAATAGCATTTATAAATCCACTCCCCCTAGAAGACTCGGAGATAAGTGTCGGGAATTTCCGAATCAGGAACTCGGATGAGAAAGCATAACAGTATAAGTATCAGAGATTCGTCACAGGAAACTAAATATATCTAAAATTCCTAGAGCCTCTTCACTATGAAAGTATCAAACCAGCCTCTTGACGTCCTCGTCATCGGCGCTGGCATTGCCGGTCTTTCAGCAGCTATTGCTCTCGGAAAACAAGGACATCGCGTTCTGGTATGCCCCCAGAAACAACTAGCAAGCTTGCGGTAACATCAGTTTCTCATTTTACTCAGATTCTGGAAAAATCGGCTTTTTTAAAGGAGACAGGTGCCGCAGTTCATTTGCCGCCGAATTGCACTGCCTTGCTACGCTGGATGGGCATTGATCCGGCCGATTTCGGGGGCACATTGCTTCATGAGGTTAGATTTGCCCCTTGGTCAGAGAAGTGGTTTATATTGATCGTTTGTACTTCTCCAGATCCACCGATATGGATTTGACGGGGAGTTGACGTACAAGAGAGAGTTCGCCGACATTCGTCATCATTGGCAAGCAGTAGGCAAATAAAATGAACTAAGCTCGGACTACGGTCTAATGTTATTATAGGAGTGGTACCTCGTGCATCGAATTGAGCTGCACAATCACCTGAAGCAACGTGCCCTTGAGACCGCAACGCTGTATACACAGTGTAGAATCACCGAGGTCAATCTGGAAGGGGCTTGCCCGTCGGTCACTCTCGATGATGGTCGCACTTTCAAAGCCGACGTGCTTCTTGGTGCAGATGGACTGCATGTATGCATATCAGATTATCAACACCGGTTTTTATCCGACTATCGTCCCCATTCTAACTATTTTGTAGTCCAAAATTCGCCAGAGTATCGCCCCAGAGTCTCCCTCCCCATATCCCGTTGGCAAGTCATGCTTTCGCTGGCTGCTCCCCACAGATCAATTAAGGCAATATGCAAGTACTACGGATTTTGTGCGGGATACTGGCGTGTTTCTTGAGTGGGAATCTAGTGACCGACGGCTCGTGGCCTACCCTTGCTCTGATGGCAAAATCCTCAATCTTTGTGCTTTTGTCCCTTTGAATGAAGTTCAAGCAGATGAACAAAGCGACAGTAAGGGTTTCACTTATGAGTTAACATAGAAAGGCACTGACAAATTGGCATCAATAGGTTGGCAGGCAGCTGGAGACAAGACTACAATTGTCAAGGCCTTTTCTAAATTTTCACCCGGCGTTCAGCAAATCATTGCAAGCGCAGACAAGAACCTCAAAGTTTGGGATCTGTACGATATGGAGGCACTGCCGACCTGGACTCGAGGCCACGCAGCTCTTCTGGGAGACGCAGCACATCCGTTCCAGCCATGTAAGCAACGGAATAGCTTCAAACTGACAACGAATGCGTGACATACTGACAGCTCGATAGACATGGGACAGGGAGCAGCTATGGCAATTGAAGATGCTGTCAGCATTGCCACCTTGCTTCCTTGGGGCACCACACCGCATGATATCCCCATGCGACTTGATCTGTATCAAACGGCTCGTCGGCCAAGGGTCGACCTTGTCCTCCACTATACCCGGATGAATGGACGGGATGAAAATGATGCAGCCGGTGATAGAATTTCAGGTAAGTTTGTTTTTATAGCTGAGCAATATACTTAAGCTAACTGTGATAGCTGCGGAAATGGTGAAAATCATGAACATTTGCTTCTCACATAATGAGATTGAGCACTCTACAAACTTGCTGGATGGTAAATTAACAAATCAATTTCGGTAGTGAATGATAGTGAACAACCACATTTAACTAGCTGGTTTATCACCGCACACAAGCCCATGACGTACTAACAGAGCTGAAGTCAAAGGAAATAGAATTTTATGCTGTATATAAGGTCGATGCTAAATCCAAGAAGCAGATATCTAAATGGTCTAGATTATAGGTGTATATTGTGTATTCAGGTTGTTGATTTATATACAACCTCAGGCACCAATTTCATGCCTTAGGCTTTGGTCAAGCTCGGGCCAATCACCATTCTTGGCCGATGTGCCCCTTAAAATAATAAACAGTTAACTAAGCCAGGGGCTCCGTGAGGATCATGTAGAAATGTCATCTGGATATTTAAGCCCAAGTTATCCGCCGGATTCGTTTCGCGTCAAGCGGAAACCTGTGTCAAACCCGAACTTGCGTGCTACAGCGCATGCCGATCAGCGGGAAGCAACAGCCTGGGCTGCCAGTACCCCATCTCTTGTGGCCCCATTACAGCCCTCGTCACAGTCCCCAGCACAACCCCCATCATACACGGACCTTTATGGACCCCCGCCTCCTAGTCCTATAAGTCCAGGCTCACTGCCGCGACCAAGGACAGCAGGGCCAACTTCATCCCCGACTCCGCCGCCCCCGACTCCTGTTCAAAAGGCATACAGCGAAGCGCGGCATTTCCTCACCGGTCTAATCAGTCGTCCAATAGAATCAAACAAGCATGTCACGATTTTACGACATTCCCATGGACTAGTTTTCTACCGTGGACCCACTACATCGGTCGCTATATCAATCTTCTCTGATGCCCCCTTACCACCTGAACACACCTTGTGGTTGCAGAGCAAAGGTTGGAGCGGGAAGACCGGGATGCAATTCAAGTCGTTTCTCCGTCTCCGGGATAGCTGGCTAGACGTGACCCCAGGTATGCCACTGAGGGCCGACCAGGTGACTCCAGATGATGAACGAGCTTGGCAACGCGACATCAAGAAATTCCGGAAGAAGGCCCCGGCTCGTCCGCGCGATACACACCAGCTACGTGAGACTGCCGTTGTGCGGATTCCCGCCGAAGCCGGCGATGGTTATTTCCAGCTGGTTCTCTGCCAAGGAGTAAAGAAGAAGGTGCTGGGCAATAGCCCCGTCTTCCGCGTGCTCTCTACATCCACCGCTCCCAGCTCTATCCGTGGTGCGAGCCTTAGCACGCTGCCCCTGGAGGTTGGGGCTATGGTTGTGAGCCTTTATGCTCAAACAGCAGCGCGAACCGCGGCAGGTCCAGCTGCCATGGCCATCCAAGCCAAAGCTACTGCGATTCGTCCATCGTGGGTGAAAACGACTGCGGTCCAGAAGGTTTACACTACTAGTGGCATCGAAAACCGCGTGGGCGGTATTATCAATGGACCTAAAGGCCCTATTGGGCGCTCTCAGATAAATGTAGCAGCGCCAGAAATAGCTGGAAGCAGCCCCGTTTCTATCGATGTTGGCCCTCAGTCACCATTCCCTATGACATTCAAAGCTCGCTGTCAAACCGATCAAATCTCGCTCAACAACCCTGACGATATACCGAAGTTGAGCTTGATTAGAATGCCCGACTGGGTGACGGAGCAGTTAAGGGGCTACTTCTTCGGCTGGGCTCGGTTCGATACTGGGCCGAGCAAAGGTTCCTCAACTGGTGAATGGTGCCCAGCTATCTTGTCTGTGCGAGCGTTAGATCCCCTCCAGGCGATGAGAGTGAACCTAGCTCAAATATCGAAACGCGTGGTTGCAATTCGCCTGCTCGAGGATGTTCCTCTACAAACAAGCAAAATCGAGATTCGGGTTTTGGGATACCTTCGCGCTGAAATTCCACCACCCACCGGGGCCACGAGCAAAGAACTTGGTGAGGCGCAAGCAGCAGCTGCAGAAGCAGCTTTGCTCGCCGATGTATACGACGCATCTGTTGTACAGGATACTCTGGCTCATCCCGCGTGGGCCGCGGAACACCCTGCGATCTCAGAACTTCAACAAAACTCGAGTTGGATTGATCGCACGGTGGAGGGGTATACCAATATCATCACCCGTGGACAGAAGTTGGTAGAGCAAGTTCCATTGCACCTGGTTGGAGTTCGCTCTGTTACCGATGAACTCAGAGAGAGCCAAGTTGCTGTAAACGGGTTTTATATAGTCCGCTAATCCTTGTCAATACGCTCATGGACCGTGTTGCAAATCCATCACGGAGTTTAATATGTACAACATCTGATATATAATATTTCATTGCTCAAGATGTGATTCCAGCCGTGAAGTTGTCAGGTACAAAAACTTCCAGCCCGGCTAAATTCAGTTGGACGCCTCTAAATGCCCGATATTTAAAACATATAGTCTTCGTGAAATCAACATCGGAAACACTCACGGTCCAATCGGAGGCTCCGAAGCCGCCAAGTTACATTGGCGGAACAATCGCACCTCGTCGGGTTTAAACGCACCAACCACGGAGTGCAGCACGCCGCGGTTGTTGAATAAGACCAAGTCATTATCCTCCCAGTCATGCGGATACACATACTGAGGGCTGATGGCTGGCCGCTGCAACTTATAGACAATATCCCGCACGCGGACCAAGTCGTCGATCGTGGTTCCATCGACGCAATGGATACGGCGCACAGCAGAGGGATGGATCTGCAGGGCCAATTTGCCAGTCACTGGGTTTTTCCAGGTCATCGGAAAGACCATGATCTTACTGGGGTCGATAGGTGGGAGTTCTGAGTCGGATAACTCAAGGCCTTCTGAGTGCATACCGAGCCCCGTGGATCGGGAATGGGCTTGGCTCATCCAAATATATCTGTCATGATGTTTAGTGCATTCGATCGAAACCATAGGCATTCACCGAGATCTTACGGATGAGGGGCATATTCCATTTTGCTCGTCTTGACAAACTCCTTATCTTCGGGAGAAAGAAGTTCAAACATCCGCTCACCACTGACAAATGCTGTTGTGCCAAGTGGTACATCCATTGTTTCTCGAGTTCCATCACCATACAATAATGTCTGTCGGCGGCCTTTCGGCACACTCACAGCCATGAGCGTTGTCACCTGGGGCGGGTAGAGGTCGTATAGTGCAGCGTCGATGTGCCAGCGATAAAATCGGGTGAATTCATAGTCCTCTTCGTCCGGGATGTGGTCTTGGTGGAATGTACGGTGGTGAGGGTGTCGCAATGTGATATCTTTGAGACCCTCGTACGAATCAACGTGTCCGTTGCCAATCACCTGAACCTGTGGCTGGTGAGGGATAGTTTTGAGATCAGGATGAAGAATGCTTCGCTTCGCATCGATGGTTTTGCCATGCCCATAGTTGTTGGAGACTGGATCGAAGCGCTTGGTCAGTTCATACTGAGCTTTGGGTGATAGCCCTTTCTGGTGCTTGAACACCACGACATGGTGCTCGTAGAGGGCCTTCCGAATTGTCCCAAACTGCTTATCTATATGATCATTAACTTGTGCTCTTGTATGTGGCAAAAGTTCACGAACCTGTCAGGTTTTCCAGATCAACACCTTGAATCTCAGCACCGAAATCAATGCTTGAGCCCGGAGGAGCTTGAAGTGGGCGGACAGTAAGTGGTAGAACGGCCATGGTTTCGGGGTTGTTCGAGATTTGAAGGTTCACAGAGAAAGCTAGCAGACCCGTACGATGTTCTCCACGACAGCTTTTATAGTTATGGGCCGATAATAAAAGGTCCACCCAGATTATAAACGATCAACGGCGTATACCGAATCACTACCGAATATGAGAGAGAATATGTGGGACGATGAGAATGATAAAGAGGTTTTCACTGGCCATTTCCCCGAAGGGATCATTTGATATGTCAAGACTCTGGATTATGGAGCAATGAGATGTTGGGGCATTAGTTGCTATTGGATGTTATAGGATATTAGGATGGTGATAAGGCGGGTGAGTGATAGCAACACGCCCACTCGGATACTTCATATATTACGTCATAAGGTTGACAAACATGACAAATGGGGCAAACATGACAAACAACCCTCTGATTTGTCCCCTTGAGGTCACCTTACATCGCTATATGTATCACCAAAACTTCCACCAAGGCCCCCGTGGTTTGGGTGGTTCCTCAGCAGCAATAATTTCATCCAAACCAGTGTGCATATCAACTTCCTCTGGGCGCCATGCCCATGGATCACTCCAATACAGTGCCCGGTGTCCGAAGTAAAGAATTAAGAAAGCAGGAATACCTATGTATGCGGTGAAAAAGTTGCTCACAGACCATTCCGATGGGAAGAATACCGTGAACCCGTTGATAAGCGCCATGAGAGTGGCACCCGCGAGGCCAAAGTAAACCCCATATGGCTGCAGCTTTGATTTGTACGGTTGTTCAATGCCCTGTGCTTTGACGGCTCTGCGGAAGCGGAAAAACACCACGGAACAACAGATCCATGAGATGAAACCAGAAGTGTTTGTGAAGTTGACGAACCAGTTGAACACAATCGAACTGGAGTTGCCAACAGCAAGATAAGCCAATGCCGAGAAGCATGCTGAAGCCGAAACAGCCCAGTACGGGACACCCCATCGGTTACATGTCTTGAACACATGCGGCGCGTTTCCTGACATAGCCAAGGAATAGAGTGACCGCGAAGACATGTACAGGAAGGAATTTCCTGCAGACCAGGCGGATGTCAAGACGGCAGCGTTCACAATGTGGTCCAAAACCGGGATGCCGGCATTCTGGATGCCGATCACGAATGGAGATGAGCTTACTGTGCCGTCGCTCTTGGTCAGACGACTAGCATCTGATGGGCAAATAACACCAATGGCTAGGACACCGAAGATGTAAAAGAACACCAATCGGTAAATGTATCTCCGTGCTGCTCGAGGTATATTGCGCCGAGGGGACTGCATCTCACCACCACTGATCACAATCAGCTCTGGGGCGAAGATGAACGCAATTGCGCTGGATACTGTGCATTTCAACAAGGCCACGAACCGGCCCGAATCTCCCGTCGTGAGATACGCGTTGAATGGGCGCGGATTTTTCCAATAATGAAAGCCTAGTCGCTGCCGATTAGGTCCCCCTCCCCAAAAGAGGATAAAAGATACCATCAACAAGCCGATCAGAGTGATGATCTTCACCCCGGCGAACCAGAACTCCGCCTCGCCGTACACTCGAACGGACATAAAGTTGAGCGCGATGATGATGATCATCATGATCGTGATCCACACGGCGATGTTGACCGATCCACTCTGGTCCCAGTATCCAATAACGAGTCCAGCAGCCGTGATCTCATACGGCACTAAGATTCCGAGAGAGTACCAGTATAGATATCCCATGGCGAAACCCATACTCCGCGACACATAGCGGAATCCATGATAACTCATTGTTCCGCCATGTACCGGAAGGTAGGCACCAACCTCAGCGATTGCTGTGACCAAACCATAAACCATGGCCGAGATGAAGATATAACCTAAAAGAAGCGATGCGGGGCCTCCAATGGCCAGGGCTTGACCGGAACCCACGAAAAGTCCTGACTGGTGTAAGTAATCTTTGCTTTTTTTCATTGTCGAAAACACCATAGACTTACCAGTTCCGATTGTACCCCCGAGGGCCATTAGCTGAACATGGCGATTCTTCAAACCACGTTTGGTGGTGGTTGCATAACGATCATCGAGTAGATCAGCTTCGACCAAATCTCTAAGTGCTTTGCCCTTCTCGCTGACGGGATGATCATCACCCCCATACTTGGGGGATTCGGACTCTATTGCCGCCATCTTGTGCGACAACGAAAGGGGGGAAATGCGGAAGAAAAATTAAACGATCGCCAGGAATGTGTGCTACATTTAAATCTGGTTTTATTTTTCTCTCACAGCGCAGTTTCATCCCGCCCTACAGAGACCCTCAGCCACGCGATATTAAACCGCTCTATTTCGGGTCGATGACTGGTCAGTAGAGGGGGTCCGTGGCCGCTGAATAGCAGTTAGGCCCGGACAAAGGTACAGTCCTAGGGTAAGCGACTAGGCTTTTACCTGAAGGTAAGACTGATTCTGGTGATATTCATTGTTGTGATGTATTATCCCCCGTGTTTCCTAGAGTCTATAATGCATAATCTATAGGGAAAGGTGACAGTCTAGTGAGATGAGATAAACGCAGAATCTACAAGGCTACTATGATAATATTGGCGCCCATGGTGACATCGCGGTAGAATGAAAGAAAAGGATATCTCACCTCAAACATTTTGCTAGAGAACACCAGTAAACAAAGGCTTCGAATGATAACAGCACCGGTCCGGTGACCGGTCCGGGGGATACTACAGCAAGATATTAGAAGAGAAAAAACACTGGGCAAAGAGACTGGGCAAAGAGACTAGGTAAAGAGCAGTAAAAAAACCTCGTGTTGGAAAATGATAGGGGGACCGGCGATACTACCTCAGAAGAACAGATAGGAAATGTAATTCAGATCCAACGAATGAGAGGTCATTATTATTCCACAATAGAACTAGCCTGCATGAGCCAAAGGAGCATACTAAGCTCAAACAAGCTATGCGGGGAATACATTTGGGCACATGGCACTTTCCAAGATCTGGTATTGTTGCATGACACCTACCTCGTCACTTATCCTCAACAAAGAAACGAAAAAAAAAAGGAAAAAGAAAAAGAAGAAAAAAAAAAACACCCAGTAATACAAACCCTCCACATTATGCAAGGAAGAGCAGTTTCCTGATCCGTCCATCCTCTCATTCGCACTAATCCATGACGCACCTATAAAGGAAACGGCCCTCCTATTGGTTGTGGCGCTTCAGCCTAGGGTAGTCGACCAAGGACTCGTTTAGGTTAAATGCCTGCCTTTTTATCGTCTACCACACTTGAGGAAGAGTAACCGCGATGGCGGGTGCAGCATCTACAACTTCCCGTGCAGTGCATATATCGAATTTTTCCGGAAGGGTCCCGAATGGTGTGCCAGGATCGTTCACAGCAACCACAGTCACGAGCGCAGCACCCGCCACGAAGTCGGCAGTATGTCCGTTCGATATTCCAGAGCTGTTTGGGTTTGTGTCGCAGATCTTTCGTATAGCGATGAACGAGGCGTCCGGGTGGCTTGCGCTTCATGAGTTCGGTCATTCGTTCTAGGTGTTGGAAGTATTCAATGTTGAGTAGCTTCAGCTCCATATCGCATTTCTGAAGCTTCTTCAAGGTGGAAGGTTCGGGTGGGCTTTCATGCTGAACTTGGATTTCATAATGGTGATATGTCGTACCGATGTGGGTTTCTTGTTGGATGATACTGTTAGCCCTTCTTGTCTCCTGGCGATGTTCGGAAATCCAGTCGGATTGGATGTTGGTATGTTGTGCCGCTTTGAGTTCTTTTAAGAGGAGTGTGAATCTGTTAGCTTGGGCATGACTGTGATACTTGGCTTTGAGATGATGGATAGTAGTGCAGATGGAGGGAAATATATTATTGATTGCCATGGTGAGGTATGTAACTAAATGTTGATGAAACAAGTTGAGGGTTGGACAGCAATCCCATATGAGGTTGTGCTCTGGAAGAGAACAATGGAAGGGATCATTTTAGGTACTTACTCGTCTTCATATAACCTTTAATGACTCAATCCTTTTGCTCGTGGGACATTTCCATGGCCGATGCTTAATTAGGAAATCGACGTCATTTTAGTATAGGAACATGAAGCATAGATGATTGATATTGTAGCTATACAACTATACAACGGGAACTCAACCTACACCTTATAATCTATCACTGGGGCATAGAAGATCAATATGGGGAGTGATTTCACAGAGTGTAACATAGTATTTCCTTTTTTTTTTTCTACTTTTGGCGATGAGACAAGATCGCTCTATACTTTGATAATGTCAAGGCGACGAGTAATAAATTATTCAATGTCGTCGTCCAAAGGTACTCTATGTATATCCTTCAAGCTCCCGACTTCCCCCACACTTTTCCAATTCTGGCGAGGCCCCTCATGTCATCGAAGACCCCCACAATCCCCCACCGCGGACCGAGACGAAACCTTCAGCATTCCGTGGATATTCCATTTAGAGCCCAGATTCACTATTGATCTACATAGATAGCTCATTCGAAATCACTCTGTGTAGGTCTATTATTTGTACTTAATTGTCCATCCAAGGCCTTCAGTATGAAAGCACTCATCTCCACCAGACCCAAGTCCGCGGGGACTTGGAGCGCCCAAAGCCGACCGTCCAGGTACCCTAACGCTATCGTCCGGCTGTTTCATGCTTACATCTGAAGCACTAGGTTCCATGTCCCTCGAGGGGCGATGTCTAGTACATAATAGCCAGCGCTGGTGTTGAGACGGGAAGGACTCGGAATGGTCGAGGAGTTGGGCTTTGCCATAAACCTGGGCACACCTTGTAGATTAGTGACCTCATATGTTTGATCCATTGCGATCGCTATGCTGGACACAAGCTCCACGGGACTTGAACATGGTGGCCTAGGCGCAAATGTTCAAATCGGAGGATTTCTCTCAACACGCCTATACAACCCCACTTTAATTGTCGACCTGGGTGAGACACACCTGGCAACAGAGCGTGAGTTTGGGGTACATGTCACACTCAGCAGGAACCCAGGGACCTGACTGGACATCAAGGGTTTAACTCGGTCATTGAAATGGATGGAATTCCCGAGACGTTCGGATTATGTGAGATGTGGACTATTGGATCATTGGTGTTCGTGGTACGGAGGACTAAAGTGGATTTGCGCCCGAAGTTGTTGGGGGTGAAATCTCAAACAAACCAAGAGTTGGAGGTCTGACACCTCAGGCATCATAAATATGTCATCAAGTCCCACCCGTTTGTTGAGACTATGGATCCGTATGGAGTACTATGATGTATTTCTCAGATACCCACATATATTGCGATTTTCATTGGAAGGGATTTTGAGAGTGCACACTTTGATTTCTGCCTAGGCTCTCAGTAGGAAACGAAACCTCTCAGCACCGGACGCTTCAAGTTGCCATCTGATTTTGAATAATTGAGAACCGACGACTCTTTCTGGAGTACGCTGTAGGGAATTGAGTACAAGGTTACAGCCAAATAACTATGACCAATGAAATATTTGCGCCGAGAGCCTGTGCCCCCTTTTTAATTGAGGCTATCTCCATACTTGCGGGATGGCCTGTTAGAACACGGCTGGTATCGGAGCCTGTTAGAGCCAGGGGAATATTTTAACTGCATATGTACAACAATAGGTACACCGTATTTGGCGCATCAGTCCTGGTTGTTATCTGACTTCCTATACTGCTCTATACTCCGTACCTATATTCTAGAATCGAAAACAGATAATGTAGAAGATAACCGGGTTTTCATTTGCGCGGAAACTATTTCCCAGGACTTGGGTTTCAGCCACAGATTAATTACCTAGGTATGTTCGACATCATCATGTCAACGGTGGTTCCATACTATGTATTTGGGTAGTTAAAGGTAACCCTGACACTATATTGTACCTATGTACCACGTGTGTAGGTCCGGAGTAGGCTAGGAATCTTTTGATAAACCATTCAGCCCAGCTTTACAACATACTACAACATGAATAGTTGTACTCCTTAAGAAAGAATAGAGACCAACGTCTCCCCCCAGTCTTCTCAAAGCTTCCAAAGTTCGAAACAAGGATGGACACTAGTCTGGTTTTGGATTCTAGAAGCAGTCTGATTGGTTGTGCCAACAATCTCCCTGTCTCTCCACGCACGTTGACTGGCTCAAAGTTTAATGGCGCTCGTGTCCTCTGGAACAGGGTGGAGTGGTGGTGGGGTTGGAGTGGATCCTGTGGATTCATGTGGGTTGTCATTCGCTTGCATTTTAATCTGCTGGTCATTTCGGGTTTGGTGGGTTTTTTATTTTTCCCGTTAAGTGGCGCTTTTTCTTTTTCTTTCTTTTTCTTTTTCTTTTTTTTTTTCTGTCTTTTTTTCACTTCTATCTTTTGTTTTTGTATTTCTTATTTCTCCCATCTCTTTTTCACACTTCTCTATTATTTTACTATATTCCTAGTACCAATCTGCACCGCATGCAGATCAGAAACATCACTCAATAACTTTCATTCCTTATGGCTGCTGCTGATGCATTCCGTCGCCCCTCCGCGGTGACGGTCGAACAGGGTGTGAGCACCTCCAATGCAGATCGTACCCTGGAGGACATGGGATACAAGCCTGAATTGGCTCGCAATCGATCAATTTGGCAAGTCACTTTTATGTGCTTCATTCTCTCATCAGTTCCCTACGGCTTGTCGACCACTCTATACTACCCACTCGCCGCAGGTGGACCTGCCAATGTCGTCTGGGGTTGGGTGATCATCTCCTTCTTGATCCTATGTGTGGCTATCTCATTGGCGGAAATCACTTCGGTCTACCCAACTGCAGGTGGTGTCTATTATCAAACATTCGTCTTGTCACCCTTATGGTGTCGTCGCGTTGCATCATGGATCTGTGGCTGGTCCTACGTTGCAGGGAACATCACCATTACCCTCGCCGTCAATTTTGGAACTACCCTACTCTTCGTGGGCTGCCTGGATGTCTTTGAAAAATCACCGGGGGTTGGAATCACGGCTGATTTCCAGGCTTATCAGACCTTCCTCATCTTCTTGGCGATTACCCTGTTGACGCACGCTATCTCGGCGTTTGGCAATAAATGGCTGCCATTGTTGGAGGTACGTAGTCGCACGTGCCCATTTACCCTATGGGGTAATAGTACTGATAATCATTTTTTAGACATTCGCCATTTTCTGGACCATGGCAGGTCTACTCGCCATTATCGTTTGTCTGTTGGCTATCGCGAAACAAGGTCGTCACGACGCCGCATGGGTTTTTGGTCACTTTGAAAGTCAGGCTGGGTGGCCCGCGGGGTGGTCGTTCTTCATTGGCCTTTTGCAGGCCGCCTACGCCACATCGGCGACCGGCATGATTATCTCGTGAGTCCGACCCTCAATTGGACTTTCCCAATTCAAGCCGTTACACATGCTAACATATGGTATCCGTTAGTCTTTGCGAGGAAGTCCAAGAGCCTGCCGTCATGGTCCCAAAGGCCATGGTTGGAACCGTTATGATCAACTTCGTCGCCGGTCTTCTCTTCTTGATTCCCGTCTGCTTCGTGCTTCCCGATCTCACATACCTGGTTAATCTCGCTTCCGCCCAGCCCACCCCTGCTATCTTCAAAGCCGCTATCGGCAACTCGGCAGGCGCATTCTGTTTGCTTGTTCCCCTCCTTGTGCTGGGTATCATTTGCGGTGTCGGTTGTGTGACCGCCACCTCTCGCTGTACTTGGGCTTTTGCCCGCGACGGCGGCATTCCCGGCTCGACCTGGTGGAGCACCGTTCACAAGACCCTGGACATTCCTTTCAATTCCTTGGTATTGGGTATGGTTGTGGAAATTATTCTCGGTGTGATCTACTTCGGCTCTACCGCTGCGTACAATGCCTTCTCGGGTGTTGGTGTCATTTTCTTGACCACGAGTTATGCCTGCCCGATCGCCGTTTCCCTGATCTTCCGTGGCCGCGAAGATATCAAGAACGGTAGCTTCAACTTTGGAGTCTTTGGCCTGATCGCTAATGTTATTGCTCTTGGTGAGTTGCTTCTGGAAATTTCGCTTGTTCCACCCGTGCGCTAACCGTTCAATCAGGCTGGAGTCTTCTTGCAATTCCCCTTTTCTGCATGCCGACCCTTAAGTCCGTCACCAAGGAGAGCATGAACTATGCCTCTGTGGTATTCGCTGGCTTCATTATCATAGCTGCTGTCTGGTATGGTGTTTGGGGCTACAACAATTACCGTGGACCGCCAACCGACGCTGTAGAGCGGGATGAAAACTCCCCTGAGCCCTCAGCCTACGCTGAAGTCCCCAAGAAGGCACCGAGTCATTGAACTTCTCCTACCCTCGCGACATCGAAATCCTCTTGCCATTGCGACATTGAAATTCTCTTGCCACTGCGACATTGAACTTCTCTTGCCCCCGCGACACCGGACTCTTTATACCCTCTTGAGGATCGCCCAGTCTAATTAATTATAGAAAAGCACGCACAGCGTTGCATGTATATAAGTATAAATACCCAATCAAAATAGTTATTTCTGCGTGACTTATATATCATTACCTGCAAAGCTAATTCAAGCATGAAAGGAACACACAGTTCGTGGGCCTTGTTAGTGGGTATAGTATATTGGGGCCGATTGAAACGGCCGGATCCTGATTATCTGCTTGACATGGATCTGTATCCACCCTCCAATACAACCCCACGAGTTCTGAGGTCTAGGAGTCAATGGCTGCGACGTGGTCCGTCACCAGACAAGTGAAATCGCTAGTTCCATAGTAGAAGGTGTTTCCATCATCGGCAGATTTCCCCGAACTCAGCGTGTCTCCATACTGCCAGTAGAGATCACCTGCAATGCCGGTGGTGTCCAACGCCGTCTTCTGCCATGGAGCCTCAACGGCACAGTGATCAGACGTGACACCATACTCTTCAAAGAGACAGGGCTTGCCAGCTGCTACACAGGCAGCTCCGTGGGATTTGACCCACCCGTTGCCCCAATCATTGGTGGTTCCCCCTGGGTGTGAATACATTAGCAGGGTCTAGCCCAAGGGCAATGGAACAATGTTATACATACAGCTGGATGGGTAGAGATGGAATGTAGCAAAATCGATGGTATCAATCCCTAGATTCATTGTGAAGTTCAGACCCTCGTTGTAGCTGTAGGGATAGCTGCCATCAGACCCAGTGTCCAGTCCGAAGCCCTCTAGAAGATGAGTTAGACAATTGAAACACGTGGCAGAGATCTTGAAGGCCTAAATACCATCACCAATGGCAACCATATGCTTTGAGTCTAGAGACTTGATATAGGCACTGGTAGACTGGATCCAGTTGTAAAGAACCGACGTGTCACAGCCTTTGCAGCGAGGCTCATTGGCCAACTCCCATGCAAAGACGGCAGGCGAGTCAATATACCGGGAAACAACGGCTTTGATGTAAGCACGGTAGGCCGTTTGAGCTGCAGTATTTGTATACCAACTTGTCTGGCTACTACCAAAGGCAGTGACATACGCCGCCATACCCCCATAATCCGACCAGTTGTTGACAAAGTTGATGATGAGTTTCACATTCCGTGCCTCGGCGGAAGCAACCACATAGTCCAGACGCTGTAGGCCATCTGCGCCAGTGTTGATGGTGGCAGTTCCATCTTTAAGGAGTTGGTAATAAACAGTCCCGGAAGATGGAACAGTGTTGACATCGTTAAATCCCCAAACTCGGAGGATCCGGAGCCCGGATTCATCCATGTGGTCGAACACAAGATCCACATCGTCATTGTTGGTGAGGAAGCCAATCCAGTAGGAATTGGAACCGGCAAAGTAGCTTTTCTTTTCACCGATTTCAAAATCCAGTCCATTTGTAGTGGGGAACCCTGTCCCGCTAGGACTGATGACGGTTGGCTTTGTTGTAGTGGTCGTTTTAGTTGTGGTTGTCAATAGAGTAGTGGTACTACCGCCAGAAGCTGGACCGTTCCATGTTAATCGATTGAACATAATTGCAACTTATATGAGCACACTTACATGCAAGGCACTGGCTAAACCAGTCATTCTGGTATTCGCAAGCCCAGCCAGAGACACATGTTGTAGAGCCGGAATAACCGCTTCCGCCACATTGGGCGTACGGAGCAGCTTGGGCAGAGACCAAGCCGGCCAGAGATAAGAGTGCTAGAGTTTTCATAATGATCCTAGGTTTCTTGGTGTACTGCTGTTTGCCTGTAGATGTATCTATGTGTATATAGAGAGAGATATATATATTTCAAGAATGCGGGGAATGTCGAAAGATGGGGAACAACATCCGCTATGAAGTAGGAAATCGAAATTATTCCATTGATTAGAGGATACATCAGGCCATAGAGTGTTCCTATCGAGCTTATGCCGCAAGCCCCCCGTGTTATTTGCGGAATAACCAAGGCGGTAGTCCGCTTGCAACGCACCAATGATTCAGCCTTTTGAAGAGCCAACCTCCATAAGCCAAACCACTTGCATCAGTTTGCGGGGTATCTAAGAAATCCAGGGCTGCATGAATCATCCGCATTTGCGGGGGAAGTCCTGCAGAAATTGAAACGCGGAGTAACTAACACTCTTGTCTCAATCTGTCAAGGCGTTTCAGCCGCTGCACTTGGAGCTGAGGTAAACTCGTTGAAACTCAGTAATAATGTATGGGGGTTCGGCTAGCTAGCCCGACAATTATACTAATTTGTGATAACCGCTCCAATCTCGCTGCACTCCCTTTCTATTTCATTATTCATCAGCTTTTCTGAGTTATTTCAGATTGTACAGGATGAAGGACGCCTCGTTCTTCATGTCGCTCAAGGTCGACTGCGATGTAGCCTGTTGTATTCGTTCATATCCAATCTGATCTAAGGATGTCCCTGCTGTTTAAATACGGAATGGGTTTCCAAAGTTCCCGAAACCCCGACTTGGCACGGAATATCAAAGATCCCGGGGTTTTTTGGGCGGATCAACCGGAGTCAGTCACCTTCCAAATTGCTCCGTACAGGGGTTTACAAAACGGGTAAGGCGGAATGAAATATTAAGCCAATAGAACAAAAGTAGTCACGTGGATGGTAGGCCTAAAAAAAGCACCCATAGTTATAGAGGGAGACTAACCTGATTAGGGAGGTAGTAAAATATTATCTAAGCAAACCTCTTTCAAATTACCAGGTTCCATACAAAACGGTGGGGTTCATTTTAATGAGAGGTGACTGTATGTTGGGGAAACTACGGGGAACTCCGGAAAGAAATTAAAAATTGCATACACGAATCTTACCCCATGCATGGGTGTTACCTACAACATAAATAGTTACCTTAACTATCGAAATACCTACAACATAGTTATATTCTGTACATAATCCTGGCTTACTTGGAGGGTTCTCAACACGAATGTATAAATAACCCAGGGGAACCTTGGAATATATCTTGGAGAGTATATAATGAAATTGTATGTTGTAGAATATAAATTACAAAACTTTCGAAATGTATTTTCATACAAAACAAGGAAATTGAAAAGTTCTTCGATGACGTAAGGCGACGGGTATGGCGCCTCAGATGCCCCGCCACTAACGACTTCGGGGTTCGGCATCGGAATATCAACCCCATGCCGATGTGTTCCGGAATTTTATAATTCATGAATGGGCCCCCGGGGATCGGGCTTTACATAAGTCGTGAACAGAGTAGACACAAGGTCGTTTGTGCAGTAGATACAGTGTTCTTGTCGTGCAAGAGAAGGAATAGTAGCAAATATCTATCTCAATAGTACTACATATGTAGTACTCCTCCACCGACCCCACGACTCCACATTTCCCCTCGAACAAGATGTCTGGAGATGATATTGTTCGGGGATGTTTTCACCGGGATACCGATCAGGAAATGAATTACGGAGCACACGGTTTTAAATCCGGAGAGAACCCGGAGAGAAGCCGGAGGGCCTGGGGAATGCCCGGGGTTTCTCTTTGACATATGACCCAACTGTGCTTCCTCCAGATGTAGGACTTATTCGAGTATCCTGGCTCTAGTATTCTACAAGTTTGTTAATATGGCCAAATCAAAATAGAGAGAAATCTCGTTCTCGGCCTCTTTCTCTCGGCCCCTTTCTCTCGGCTCTGACTAAAAATTTTCGAGTCTGAGTAAGTTCGGCACGGCCTTGGCCTATGAGCTTGAACCCGCCACTTCCCGACCCCCTACAACATACGCCGAACAAATCGGCTATCCACTTTTAAACGGCAAACCAGAGAGGATCTTTTGGGACCTGCCCTGTATGGCTCTTCCCCCTGGTTGGGTGGCAGTGCACGTCGGCATCCGCCGGCTTGTTGACTGTGGCCATCCCTACATTCTACAGCGCTACAGCGGCCATGAGCATCGTCATCTCGCAGAACTCGCCTCTCCACAATTCTTCCCCCACTTTGAGTCTGGGTTTTTCTTTTTCTTTTTTTTCTTTTTTCGCCATCTGATTGTTGGATTACAAAAAGGCCCCTTTTCCCCAATGTTCCCCGGGGTTTCTTATTCCCCATGGGCTTGTTTCCCTCTATTATTCTTTCATAATCACGTTTACTTTTGAGCTGGTTCTCTAGTCCCATTATATTTTGTTGAGTACAATTCGAAGTATCAACCATTAGGACAACCCGAAATACATTTCCTCTTTCTGCAACCTACACCATGGGTGTCGAAGCCTCTTCCCACCATGGGGAATCTATCACCCCGGCTCAACAGCGGAGCGTTGAGTCGTCCTTCCAAAATAGCCCTATTGAGAAGCCCATGCAGCCCGTGGGCGTCGATACACCGATCCCTCGGATAACCATGCGCTCCTTGGTGATGGCTCTCTTTGTCTCGATGGGTGGTCTGCTGTTCGGATATGACACGGGTCAGATTTCCGGCTTCCAAGAAATGAGCAACTACTTGGAGCGGTATGGTGAGCTCAATCCAGATGGTTCCTACGCATTCAGCACCGTGCGCTCCGGTCTCATTGTTGGCTTGCTGTCCATCGGTACCATGATCGGTGCCCTGGTTGGAGCCCCCGTCGCTGATATGTTGGGCCGCAAGTGGTCCATTACTCTCTGGTGTATGATCCTCAACGTCGGATTGATTGTTCAAATTGCCTCTCCCGATGGTCACTGGTACCAGATGGTCGTTGGCCGTTGGGTCACTGGTCTCGGTGTCGGTGGCTGCTCGTTGCTCGTGCCCATGTACCAGGGTGAAAGTGCCCCCCCGTCATATCCGTGGTGCCATGATCAGTTGCTACCAGCTATTCGTTACCCTCGGTATTTTCTTGGCGTACTGCATCAACCTGGGTACCCATACCATGGATGGCACTGCTCAGTGGCGTATCACTCTCGGCATCACCTTCCTCTTCGCTCTTGTCCTTGGTGGTGGTATGGTGTTCTTCCCCGAAAGCCCACGTTATGAGTTCCGCCACGGAAAGGCCGAGAGTGCCCAAAGCACTCTAGCCAAGCTCTATGGTATCCCGGAGAACCATGTCCGCATTTTGGAAGAAATGAGAGAGATCCGTGAACAGTTTGAAGCCGAGTCTGATGACCAGAAATGGCATGAATTCCTCACTGCTCCCTGCATGTTTTACCGTATTGCCCTCGGCATGGTCTTGCAGTCACTGCAGCAGCTTAGCGGTGCTAACTACTTCTTCTACTATGTAAGTTCCTACATCAATTGCCTTTCCTTTTGTATTTTGGGGGAAAGATCGCTGACAATAATATTTTTGATAGGGTACCACTATCTTCGAAGGCGCTGGTCTCTCAGACAGCTTTGTGACCCAGGTCATCCTCGGCGCTGTGAACTTCGGCACTACATTTGGTGGCTTGTACGTCGTGGAAAACTTCGGTCGTCGCAAGTCCCTAATCTTCGGAGCGATCTGGATGTTCGTCATGTTTATGATCTTCGCGTCCATCGGCCATTTCGTTTTGGATGTGGAAACGCCTACCAATACCCCCAATGCCGGCAAGGGTATGATTGTCGTCGCCTGCCTGTTTATTGCGGCATATGCTATGACCTGGGGTCCCATGGTCTGGGCTATTGTCGCAGAGCTTTTCCCCTCAAAGTACCGTGCCAAGGGTATGGCCCTGGCTACCGCCACCAACTGGCTGTGGAACTTCCTCATCAGTTTCTTTACAACCTTTATCACCAAGGAGATTGACTTTGCCTACGGATACGTCTTCGCTGGTTGCCTTTTCGTGGCTGTCGGCGTTGTTTACTTCTTTGTCATTGAAGGAAAGGGTCGCACGCTCGAGGAGCTTGACTGGATGTATGTCAACAAGGTTGTCCCGTGGAAGAGCAGCAACTACGAGATTCCCGAACGCCACCAGGACTGGATTGCGGATGAAAACCCATACGGTCGCAAGTCGCAGGGAACCCTTCACGCGGAGAACGCATAAGTTCAAAGGCCTCTTCGGGGAAGAAAACCACAATTTCTTATCTTTTTCTTTTCGCTGGTGTTGCATTCTCATTTCATGATGCATGAACATGCATGGCACGATATCATCTTGGGCCTGGAGTACTGAGTGGCATTATTGTGCACAATTACTTTCTTTGTATATATGAGATGGATCATGATCATTTACCTACGGCATTTATAGAATACAAGGTATTTTGCCTTATTTAACTTGACAGCCTGGATTACACCTAAACTATGAGCATGTTACCAAAATGAAGATTGGATGTAGATGATTCAAGTGGTTAGTTGTATGTGCTAATACATTATGATTTTTTTCTCTAGGAGAATTAGTTCAAGACAGGAGGAATTTAACTATTTTAGAAAGGCTAGATACAAGAAGAGAAGAGACTCTGGCTTCTACGAGAGATGGAATGTCAATAACGCAAAAGTAAGATAGATTCCTGACAGTGGCCTTAGGCCGTCATATTAGTGCCTCAGGCATAAGCCCCTCGCTAGGGAGTTAGTCAGCAGATGTTGGTTGCCTGAGTGCCTTAGGCACCAATTGACCCACATGGGACAGATCCCAATCATGTAGATAGTTTTCCTCTCTCTCCTTCTCTCCTTTCTCTCCTCTCTCTCTTCGTCCAATCTCGACATTCTGAATCAAACTGCATTGTTTTCTCTTACAAGCATCATAGATTCTACATTAGCAGATCCTGCCTTTGTAGCAATCAACTCTCTCCCTCCCCCCAAAACTCCATAACTAGTGGCCCCAACAGAACAACATGGCACTACAATCCATAGCCAGAAGCCGGGCCAAAGCCCCCTCTTCACGAGCCCGATACACACAGGCAAAGTGATTAAGGCCTATGTCTAAGGGGACCTAGTCTGTGCGACACGCTTTCGATGTGCCTGCAGGAGCGCCGGAAGAAGTGCGACTCTTGGTGGAAGTTGTGGCGGTAGTCCGCGCGGATGTGGTCAGTGACGATGCATCCGCTTTGACAGAGCTTTTAGATCCAGCCGAACCAAGCCCCGCGACCAATTTATCGCCAAGAGACTTGATGCTATTTTCAAACGTCTTGCTGTCCTTCGCTTTCCAGTCTGCCTTGGATCCCGGAACTGCGCTCCTTCCGGTGAAGCCAATGTACAAAACATCCTTCTCGCTGTGTCCGCTGTCACCGGTAATGTCCTCCTTAGGGAAGCAGAGTTTAGCTAGAGAGATGGAAGCTTCTCCGGTGGAAGTTCCACCGTTGGTGTCACCCCAAATGCCGTAGTGCTGCGATAACTTTAGCAGGGAAAAGATTAAATAAGTCGCGGGTATAGGGGTGACATACCAGTTGACCACCACACACAATCGCCATCACACTGAGATGCTCCATGCCGTGCTTATCAGGCATGAACGAAGGCTCGTGTTCCTCATTTCCAAAGACAACATAGGGGTGAATGTTCGCATCTAAGTCCTTGATGCCAAAGTGTTTCACTTCATCCTGGAACGCCGTGACACCTAGGCCACTCGGATCATTGGAGCAACCCCCCTCGGAGTTATTGGCGCCATCACAATCGACGTCCATGTCAGCGTACGCTCCTCCCTTGGAGGTACTGTGCAAGAAGATAGCCCCGTCTATATCGCCGCAATAACCCATGTCGGTGCCTTTGCCCCCATCGCTAAATCCTTTAGCAAGTAGGTTGTCGCATTTAGCAGCCTACATATGTTAGTGCTATTGTATATGTTTGACGGAAATGTATGGTTTACCTTGTGGGATTTGTAAATTTCTTGCAAATTGGCGGGCACCTCATATGCCAAAGCAAGTCCCGCCGAGCAGAGAATCAAGGTGCTGAGAACCTGCATTTTGAGAAGAAAAGATGCACTGTAATGAGGTGTTGAATTGAAATGGATACATCATGAGAAAGTGAAGGAGGTTGTGGAATATATACACCAACGATAGCTGAATATTTTGGATATGCAGGGGGTAAATGAGAACAGCCGTCCACTCGGGCGAAATGATATAGTGTTTCGAAACGTCCTGAAGTGAATATTGACTGTAGGGCAATGGCCAAAACAAGTTACAGCACAGCCCTGCTTATTATTATCCCACTGGTATCCAACCAACGCCCAATGAGAGACTGCAGTTCGGTCATGCACCAGTACCCAAGTGGGCCCTAAATATCTAGTCTAGGAAAATGGGTTGAATATTGGAAACCCTGAAGATTATCCTTGGCTAAAGTAGGGACACCATGTACGGCGATTGAAGCATGTGAATCAGAGGAAAGGGAATTAATTACGAAAAGACCAACTAACCAATCGGGAAGGTATTAAGAGGAATATGGCTTAGTATAATTAGGCCCCCACTGCACTCCATACTACAACATAGTGTACACCAGTAGAAATATATTCCTCAAGTCAACCTTGCTACTTTTGGGGTTTGATTTTTTCTTTTTCTGGTACGGACTAGTCTGTACGCGCGAAGTTAATGATTTTGTAAGTCGGGAATTTATAAAGTAGCCGTGGAGGTTAAGATCATTCGTCAATTTCCGATGAATATAAGGCGATCATACCAACAACTTATAAGAGTATAGAGTTCGAGGGCTATATCTACCAATTTTTAGTCTGCAGACTTCAGCACACAAATCGTGTCTCATGGCTTTTGACTGAATTAGATGCACTATCGCAGTCTCCCAGCCAAGCAAAGTTCCCTAAGTCCAGTACCGATAACCAAGACAGGCTGGGCACGACAAAGTTTGTTATGAAATCTAACAGTCAGAGTGAGAGTGATATATACGAGTCGGGGTAGGCATTTGATTTTTATAGGATGTTGGCTTCGGCATTGTTAAATGTGGGCATGAGGGGAAGGTAGAAGTTGTCGGGTTATAATATAGGTAGTGTGACGGGTGTCTAAGTGGTCCTTGGATGCTTGCAGAGGGAGATGAAAGGGGAGCACCAAAAGAGCTGAATTAAGAGAGGTGGTTTATGTATTATCCGTTTAATACTGGATCGCACTTTCCAGCATAGACTGCATTGTCAACGACGGAATTTAAAATCTCTGAATTTCGGAATATATGGATATGTATGTGGTGGGACTATATTGCGGGGGACGCAAATACACGTCCACCCAGTAATCCAATCGCCGAAGGCATCCATTGTGCGGTGTCAAGGCAAGGATTCGGAAATAGTTTGTAAAACTTGTCTGTATATTAGAAGCAAGAATTGTATACCGCGGCTCACAATCTCCAAATCATCTAGTGCTAAAGGTTTATCATGGTCCATAAGACTCAAGGTACTCTTCCTTGTTGAGTGCACCGATTTGTGTGTGGATATAGTTATTGAACTGTGACAGTGATGCGACATCCGTCCAATACTTGAATAATATGCTTGGTCTGTGGTGTCCTTTTGCTCTGGGAAATCGACGCCCGTAGGAGTCATGTTCGACAAAATGCGAACCAAATTTGAACAGCTTATACCAAGGTACAGAGCGCAGGTGGAAATCAGTCGCAACCAGAATGAGTTGTGCGAGGGAAGTCGATTAGAAGACAACTCTGTATAGACTTCCTTGATAGGAAACCATATGTTATCGAGGTCGGCAAAGGATATCCGGGGTATAATAAAGGGTTTTATATCACCGATAGAGGGTATTGTTCTTTTTCTCAGTTCTTGGTGTAACAATAACAAGGCATGCTTGTAGAGTCTAGGGTTGAGCTTGGTCGCAATGACAGCAAACCGGTGGATGGCCGATATGGCTAGGCTATCACAGCAGCATAATTCGAGGACACACCACGGTCGCTGGAGAATAATGAGTAAAGACTCAACAATGTCTTTGTGACCAACGATCTGGTGTTTGGAAAATTTTGATGCATTTATAAGGAACCAAGGAAGGCTATCGTGAGGTGATATCTCTCGCGCAGGGTTGAAAGGTGGATGCTTTAAACATGGCAAGGAGACAATGTTCACCGTGAATACATTTTCCGTAGTGACTAGGACAGGAATAACGTTTTCAACAGCAGAAGCCGCCGAAATAAGTTCTGCCCGAAACTCAGATTTGGATGATGTGGTGCTCCAATCTAGTGAAGTCGCGACAATAGAGTAGATAGCAAATGAGTCTCCTAGTGCGACCCCGCCACCTTCGTCGGATGAAGCACAAAGTTGAGAGAGACCTTTTGGGTCGTGATTTTCAGCCTCATCCATAGATACCTCGGTAGAGTGTGAAGCCCTCACACCGAAGATGCTACCACGTACATGTCCCGGTTAGGATTATGGTGGTGGTGATGGTATTGTAGGATGTGGGTGGATTTTCGTATAGGTAGGCGCATGGGTTGGTCACTTGCTAGAATTGCTAGAATACACATTATTTTTTCGGCATAACGGAGGATTTATTAATCCTAACTAACTAACGTATTCGGTAAGCGAGCGGGCCATCGCAAAACGCCATAACTACTGAAGGCGATTTAACTAGTTACATATTTTGTAATTTATGTTGTATAATCAAGGCTCTACCTACCTAGGTAGGACAAGATTCCTTATTTTACAAAACCGCCTAAGCTGACATCAATTGATATTTTGCAATCCAGACAGGGACGACTCAGGCCGCTGCACAGCAACTGTGTGAATCTGTGTGATTACATAAGATCATTTAACCACCTGGGCAACTCGGCCAACAGATCATATCGGAAGCTCAATATACGAGGCCCGAGACTCTGCTCGGGACCACAATTGGAGAATGTGGACATTCTGATTCGTCTAACTGGGAGCTGGGATCAGACCTTGACCCAGACCCAGACCCAGTTTCTTCCCAAATATAAGGTGTAATTCTTCTTCTCTTCCGTGTACTCACTCCCCTTGGTTGCCTAGAGGAAAATCATACACTACAAATGATATACGGATTAGAGGGATGCATACTTAGTTGATAGACTATGTTGTAGGTAAATAATAAGGTAACATACTGAGAATTAATTGTGAGTTCAAACTCCCTTGTCTGAAGGAAAGCTCCTCTACAACATAGCCTGTCAGGCGCTCTTTTGTCGACTGTTTATTGGACGAGATGCGGTTATTAGTGGATCGCTCGAGATCGTCGGGTACAAATATGCAAAGTACATAAACTAGTGACTTCAGCTAGTAAGCACTAAACCTAATAAAGGAGGCTTAGCGAAGTCGCGCGGGATCTTGAGTGGCCTTCCTCATGTTTACTGACCTGGACTGAGCTGGAAGACTTCCAACTTTTTTAATTTTTCTTTTTTAAGAACTATGGGTCGCGTAACTTGGAGACTCGCCTGTCTTCCTTAAAATGCCATCAGCGTCGCTGTATCTTTCAAGTCTGCTCTCAAGTCTGCTCTCCATAATTGGGCAAGCACAAGCAGAAAAGTTTCCACAGTCACTAACAGACTTGCACGCTCAATTGAAGAGTGATGACGGAGTTACGTTTGACCCGCTTGGTGTCGCAGCCGTTCTCTACAACCCTCGCGTCGACAAAAGTGCAGCGAGACTTTATACTCAGTTTGATCGAGGATTATTCATATGGCCACACCTAACCATGATCGGAGGGACTCTGCCACCCATGCAAATGCTTGTTGAACGCCTCAATGCCACGATGAAGTGGATCCATCCATCTATCAAACTATGCGCACAAGATACCACGATGATCCCCGTACGGTCGGACGTATCGGGGAATGTATTTCGCCAACTGCCACTCAACTTAAGCAACGCATGGCTGACTGATATAATATCCTTTCAAACATCCAAGCAACCTGGAAATGACTTCGTTGTCGTTTGTGTGGACACCATGTACCAATCAATCGAAGAGAGCCAGAAAAATATGCGTCAGCAATCAGGAAACGTAAGGTGGCTTCTGGGGAAATGGACATTGGACTCGATTTGTCTGGTCAATGGAGCCATGCTAACGACCGGTATGGTGTGTGGGATTTTGACAGCCGACCTTTGGGCTTTCACCTTGTTCTTCCTATACAGCAGTCATTGGTTCGCTTCGGTGCTTATTTCCTTCACTTCGATGGTCAAGATCCACAAGCCAGATCACATCAAAGACGACTTGCAGGATAGATATGCGGTGTATCAACGCGATGAGGGGGCACTGTGATATTCAAAGGACCACAAAGGGAGCTTGAGGAATGGGCACGTTCCACTTGGGAATATGACCGGACTTGGGTAAAGGATTGTTTGCACTGGTTCTGGACCTTAACAGGGACATTCTCTGGCGTATCTTCGGTTGCATGTATGGTGAATATGAAAGGCGCTCTGCAATTGGCATTTTTGGTGGTTCTGGTATATTCATCACTAGCTGAGATTGGCGCCACCAGGATTGCGCGTCATCTGCAAACCAAAGCTCATGGCCATATCTCTGTGGACCAAGTCTTGGATAACCGAACTCGGAGCCTAGCAATTATCCGTGCCACATTACAAATCACCCCAGAATGCCGTCTCAAGGGCCTGGATTGGGTCAAGATGGGACTACTTCCTCCAATGCAGGTTTTTCAGAAGATGCAGGAACTATTGAGAGAGGTTTCAAACATCGACCAAAGTATAGTTCATCCTGGAGCGGCGGTGAAAGAAAAATGTGACAACTTCCTCAATGGTGTGGATCCCGCTGAGCAGATGTTGGCTAAAAGGATAGTTAACGAAGTGGCGGAGACACTGGGGTTTTAGATCCTGTTCAACAAGTCAAGGGCTTTTTTTTACCTGGTGTTGGAACTTGGCTCAATATATGTGATTAGCGCTTTGGTGAACGCCTCATTACTTCCCAAGCATGTTTCTTTCATGGTATTCTGTTGTCTGTGTTTTCTTTTTCCTGAATAAATACCAGTCCAACGAATTCTGCGAACTTGTATACATAGCATCTGTCTGTGAAGGTGTATCCCGGCTAACTAGGGGACGGAAACTAATATTAGTAATATTGATGCCTCAATATACCTGAATATTTGCCGGCAGAAAATATGAATGCTTGTACTTAAAATCTATGAGGATGGATGGCGATTTGTACGGTGGGAAGAGCTTCAATATTACCCGGGAGGCTTCAATTGAGAGCTTCAGTTACAATACGTTACAATACAGTGTAAGAGCGGTGCCAAACGGCGGTATATAATAAGGCATATTCAGGCATATTCAGGCAGCAATATTAGTAATAATTAGTTTCCGACCCCTGGCCCTTCGCAATCTGTCCAAACAAGAAAAATGTGAAATTGCAATCTAACGAGAAGGCCACCTCTGGCTTACTATAGGACGTTCAAACCCTTGCCATCAGAGTTGGCTTTAATACGCCTGTTTTGCACCCAGAAAATTGAGATTTGTAACAAAACAAGGATCAGTCCCAAAATCACTAGCCCAATCATGATCAAGACCCCTCTCGGATAACTACCAGGTCGATAAACTCATTATTAGTGTTGTGCACAACTTGGGTGAGATCTGGAAGGATAGGGCTCACAATATAGCCGACTCGTCCGCTCGAAATATCTGGGTTCCCGCCATAAGCCCCCCTGTAGCTGCCATGACAACTTTTCCTTTAGTTAGTAAAGAGAAAGGATGGTCCAGAATAGGGCTAGTAGTCTTACACATTCTTCATGTGGAGGCAATATTGTCAGCTCATCTATTTGGAGGACGGCCAGTAGGAAAGATTTCACTCACGCAACGCTTATGTTCCTTTCTTCAGAGCTTTTGCAGTTTATTTGGATCCAAGAATTGTGGATTGGGTGATACCCCACGGCCAGAGCATTAACCGCTGTCCAGAGTCCGAACTTGCCCCATTTATCCACACGATGCATCATGATTCTTAGAATTACCAACGCGAGCAAGTAGACGAAGATAGCAACCATAACAGTAAGGCCTCTTTTGTTCGATTTGTCGCTCATCCACGCAAAAAGGAAAATCACGGGGAGAGTGAACAAACTTCCGATTGCAGAAAGTGCATTTGCCTCGATTCGCGCAAAACCAAGTTCCACAAAGATACTTGGAGTATATGTTGTAAGAGGGCTCCATGTAGCGAAGACGCAGCCCGTGGAAATGAAGTGCGGCCATTTGTGCACGTCTGTCAACGTCTTCCAGACCAATATGAATGATATATCCGTTTTGCCTGGGGGGCCAATGGTTTCTTCATTGGGCGAAACACCCCAGCTTCCGCAATGTTCACGTCTTTAGACAATACAGATACTTCCTTGTGTTCAGGAAGGAAGAAAAAGAGAGCAATAGACACAGCAACGGAGAATAGGCCCTCAACTACAGATTTGTTAGCATAGTTTGGTGTGTTTAAGGGATCAGCTCTAACCGTACCGAGGAAGATCCATTGCCAGCCAAAGAGACCATTCTTCCCGTCCAGTTTCAAGAGAGCAGCTCCAAGCAGCGGAGAAACCGCCGTTCCACCAAACATGCCGAAAAATAATATGGCGATTCGCTTTGTTAACTCTTGCTTGGTATACCAGGTAGAAAGTGTGTACATTGCACCAGGAATATACCCAGCCTCAGCAAGACCCAAAAGAGTTCTCGTGAGTAGGAAACCTAACTTGTTGCGTACAAATATTTGTAGGCAGGCTATTATCCCGAATACGCAGACTTGTGCACTGATCCATTGGCGAGGACCAACCTAGTTCAACTTAGTGACTCGTGTATGATCTGGCTAGTGATCCGACATACCTTGTGTAGAATAATATTTGATGGTATCTCAAGTACAATGACACCCAGGAACATCAGTTGATTTCCGAGATTGATAGTGTTCTGGTCGACGGATATGACGGATGCAAAATTGCCTGTGAGTGCACTGGCTATGTTGGTTCTGTCGAGCTGATAGGTAGCGAACCCAACCGTCAAAAGGGGTAAGACTCGGAGGTCCGCTCTTTTAACTTGTCAACTAAACCATCCACTAAAGCTTTCGATGAGTAGGTTCAAGAGCGGAAGGACATACATTCTCCGACTATGGTCGGAATACTTATTATCACAACTTTCGATGTTGTCTATGGCATGGCGATGACACCTGCGCTTCGTAAATTCATCAATATTGACATTCAAGGCAGACTCCATGCTCTCCGTTTCCAGACAAGATAATAACTGTCAAAAAATTTCAGAAGGCCTCTTTTCATCTTTGGGGGACCTTGTGGCCCATTTTAGAGGTTGGATAGAAGTTGAAGACCTTGGGGATGATAAGGTAATGTTGATTGGGAAATTACTAGAACAACAAAAAGTATAAGATTGGTAACATTTAAAAAGAGAACTATATGGATATATTGAAAAAGAGCCACTACAGGTGCTACAATTTGTCTCCTAATAGTTACAAATCCTTCAACATAGTTACCAAAGGTCTCCTGGTCAATTGAATACCTCGCTATTTATTGACATATGTTGAGCGCAACAGGAAATTTGCCATCGAAAGGAGCACAGCGACAATAAGGCACGGAATTGAGACTGGTTCAGCTTCAGTACACCCTATGACTCAAAAAGATTCTTAGAGTTGTGGTGTCTGTGAAGAGCCAGGTATTCAAATACGGCAGCTAATCTCAGCATTGTCGAGGTTGATTGGAATTGCGGCGTGAGAACTGCCATCAAGGTCCAGATAAGTTTGCTGAGCAGTCAAGGTACCGACGATAGCGCCATTGTTCGTGATGACACAATTGATAGACGGTGCAAAGTTGGCGAGCTGGGCGGCGGTTGCCTTAACAGTACCACCTGTTCCAACAGAGGTACCACTGAAGAGGGAGAAGACGCTCTTATGGGTGTCATCGGCTTGGAATGTGACACCAGCATAGGCTCCAGATTGGTCATTGGACAGAGCTACAGTGACTTGGTTGGATTGGCGGACCTCGAGAGGAGTGGCAGAGATAGCGACTGCCATAAGAGGGACGATAGCGGCAATGTCAAACTTCATTTTGAGATGTTTGGATGGAGCTTTGCAAAATGTAATGATGTTCTTTCCGGAGAAGATTGGTTGGAAGTTCTGAAAAGACGATTGGAGTCGAATGCTTTTTTGCAGTGAAAGGAATCACAATTCGTAGGAAGAAGGCCGATTTTATATCTTTCTTACTGGAATACCTCCCCCAGTCTTCCCATTTATATGCTATTATTAGCTTTTGAGTTAGTACACATCTACATTATGATAGGACTTAACGCAACTGAGTTGGGTCTACTTGAGAACACATTAGCTGATCTGCACAGCCCTTCGTATACTGACCAGCTGAGGTTCTACATCAAGGCTACCCATTCCTATTCCATATCTACGCACATGCGAGGAATATCATTCACGGCCGGATGAAGACGCCTCTCTTATGCACCTGGGATGATGCGTTTTAGCGACTAACATCGCATTCCAGATACCCAAGCAATAAAGAGAAGCTTAGAATATTGAAAATCAAAGATAGTATTCACACGCGACAACGATCGTGCAACAGGCTATTTCTCTACAGAAGGGTGCCAAGACTCAGGTAATGTATTTATGGATGTAGCCTTTCAGACACTAGACAATTCATGGCTGCTGCGCCAATATCCCAAGGCTGAGCTCGTGTCTCTCTACCTATAGTCCGGAGGGGGCCTTAATGTATATTTATAATATATTTAGCCTGTATAAGGTTTGTTTCGTGCGAGATTCATCAACCGGCGTCCAAACGAGTGCGTTATTCGGCAACTAAAATTTAGTGCATTGAGAAGATTATATGGACATTTGACTGCCTTTTGGAATAGTAGATTTGTTCTATTTAGACTAATGTTCTTTTGCACAGGGTAATGGATTTGAATAACACTCCCTTATTGAATACACAAAAATGAAAGCAAGAACTCTCGATCAAATACGAAGGCATGCTACCACGAGACCTATGTCTGATTGTTCAACGCCATAGAGAAGGTAGAAATCAAAGACATTTACCACTGGGGTCCTTAGACATGGCGAATTATCTCGCGTTAACAAATACGAAGAGGCGCGGCTCTAGGTTATACATCCAACATTTCAATTACGTGGAGCTGATGCCCAACCTCGTATCTCGCCCCGCCATGTCTTACCATCTAACTAATATCTGGGTTCGTACTAAATGAGAGAGCTGAGGTTCACTAAGCAATTGTCATGCTTGAAAATCTCGCATAGCGTACTATACCCCGCCATATAACATAATTCCACTCTTTGTGTTTCGGTATGGATGTGCTCCAAACTTGATTATCCGCAATGTGCAAGGCTGACAATCTACAACGTCGTAAACTGTTTGGGGAAACAAATACGAGATCTTACCAAAATCAGATAAAAATAGATAAATAGGCAAAGGGAGATTGGAAAACGATGCATAAATTGCCCTATTAATCGAATGTTAGCAATATAAGGATTAGACTATATAGTTGGACAGAGGGATAATATTTACATACGATAGTATTTTGAGGTCCGGATGAAACAATCTCGCTACCCATACATAGTTTATAACTTCTCCTTAGTGGAAAATAATATTTCTGTCACAAGATACATCCCGGCGTTGACATTTTCCTTTTCTCACACTGTAGCTCTTACAGCCCCACTCCCATTGGTGATATTGGGGAGAGACAGACGCGGTTTTTAACCATACCGTGTCGATCCATGTGTACCCAAAAAAAAGGCCGCTTAAAAGATTAGCAGGATGTGGTACTAGCGCGCCTGAGTTAAGTCTCGGGAAGTGTTACACTAAAGGCGACGATATGGGCGCATCACAGGGCAAATTATTATGGGCCCAGCGTCGATTCATGGACCACAAACCTTTCCAAATAAAGGGAGAATTCAAGGCGGGGAGGGTGGGTTGACTTTGGAGGAAAGGCAAGAATGAGGAGATGAATCCCAATTTACAAACTCACACAAGGGAGAAAGGGAGTGTGAGTGGCAGAGCGAGCGAAAATAAATTCTTTCCTTGACTCTGGTTCGTCCGAATGCAAACCAATGTACTATATATACTAAAAACTTAGTATGATCTGCAAGCCTATAGTACAATATCATAGACAGCTATAGGTTTGCTTATTCCTCTCTAGCGAGCTTAAAGATATCTGCCGTGCTCAACTTACCCGTTGGACATCGCAAATGTGATCAGAGATGGAAATCCAATACCTAAACTATTATCCTGGAATGTATGGCCCATTATAGTAGGTCCAGCGGGTTTCGGCAATAACCATATATTGAGTCACAGTTCATGCTATGGTAAAATCAAACAGCGGCGCCATGGGTGCGCATGAACAGGTTGGGCGGTCTCTCGCGAGAAGCAAATTCATCGTCCACAACATATTCGATTTCCGGCCCGTCCGCTTTGAATCCCATCTGTCCATACACATGTCGGCCCATACTGGACGCTTCGGTTATGGCTTCTAGGTCTCCACGTCGTTGTGCTTCATCGATGCCCCACTGTACAAGCTCTCGCGCGATGCCTTTCCGTTGGTGCGATGGATCGACGGCGCACATGTCTAGAATCATAACCGCTGGCTGCGCTGCAGTGGCTTTCTGCTTGATTACTGCGGTTCGACTTCTATGCAAAGAAGAAATTGCTTGACTGAGGTAGCGTTGTTCAGGCTCATTGTCGGGGTACAGCGAATTGAGGTCCATCGCTAGATCATCCACTGGAGGATCACCATAGCCCTCTACACTGGAAGCTTGCACCCAAATACCGAAGCCGACGATGATACGGTTGTGTTCAAACTCCGGACACGGCAGTGTAGCCTTGAGAAATATGGTATTCGGGAGACCGTTTTTGTCATTGGTTTTGTGGCGCCAGCGGGCGACCATCCTGTCGGCTCCGGATGCCCTCCCCTGAGGTGTGTCCCATCCTGGGTTCATGGCCATCCAGATCCCGTCTTGCACTTGACGACCGAATGCCTCGCATACGCAGTCAAAAGCCTGAATGACATCCTCGGGTTGATCTATGATATCAACACGCAATCCGATATCGGGTCTCTGCCTTTGAGAAGCCATAATTGCGGGTTCGACTGCTCTGGTTGGTGTTTGTGTATGTCGGAGCCAAACGATCTTTCATCAAGTTGAATACGTGTGAAAAAAAGAAAAGGTGAGGTGTTCACGCCAAGGCTCTAATAAAGCGGACAATTCGTTCATTGGCTCTATATGACCACTAATATATAGATGATATCATACATTGACTAATAACTAGTGGACCAACTAACTAGTTACCTAGTGAGGACAACGTGTTCGAAACCGATCAGGAGTAATGCAAACTTACATCAGTTGGCTTTTTTTTAGATAAGGGTGTACGGTCAGGTATACAACAAGTGAGGGCCGTATGTTACTTCTGACTCAGGGCTCATTTTCGGAGCACATTAGTTCTTCGCAGAAATTGAAAAGAACATTGTGTTCACTGGTGGCCTCAGTAAACCGATCGCTGTGACAATCTATCGACACGTGCATCTATCCTAGTCTTGGTTTGACATTCTTGCTTAGCTTAGCCCATCCTGACAGTAATTAGCAATAGTGTTGGCGGAACGAGAAAAGAAGAGGAGTGGAATGACTGCATTGACTGGCTAGCAGAAGTCTGGGGGGGAAGAGAGAGAGAGCAAGGAGGTAGTCAAATATGCAGGCATTGTTAGCCTGACAAACCAGGCACACACCAAGTGTCACGTGATCAGAGGCTCCAACAAATAGTTGGTCCATCTGTTAATATCGCGGTGAACACTGTCGTATCTCCAAGACTCCTCTTAATATCGCTTCTCCGATAAGAATGTATATCGAAGAATATTAGTCTGGAAAAGCGCCTGTATTTGCCATTTCGGGATCCCACGTTGGTCACCGTAACATTTGATTCTGGGAGAGACTTGCCAGGCTTCACAACATCTCAGGCGTGAAAAAAGAGTGTGCTGACAAAGGTGCCCAGGGGTGTGCAAACAAGTGCAAATATTCCCACTTTCCAACCAGGGAACCAGGTGGGTCCATTGAGCGGGTATTTTGGCCAGTTCCATGGATCCAGAGGAACAAGGAAAAGCTCCTTTTACTACTATTGTAATTTCCACTGGCACAATCATTGTCTCACCGTCCAATCAATAAAATAATTTCACCAAGCATTGTGCTTTCGGTAACTTTCGTGAGTGGTCAATCTTCGAATGTGCACAATAGTGAGGTTTGCCTCTCTCGGTCGGCTTCCGCGATGGCGTACTAATTCACCAGCTATAACGTACATAGATACGGAGCAGCATATCCACACCTGGAGGTTCCCGTCCACCTATATGACGATGGGCCAATATAGTACTCTCATTGTTATAGTTCATGTCTGGAATCCTACCACGTGGGTCGGTCGTAGGCGTCCATGTATTGGGCTAGTCCGGGGACCGTCGACGCTAACCGCTAGGGTGTTGTATAACGGAGGTGGACCTAAATTGCATTTTCAGATCAGTACCTCTTAAGGTCTACTATCATTATTATTATATGAAACAAGACCCGCCACATCATCGCTCGTTAAATCGTGAAGTCAGAATATCATTCAAGATTAGCACGATGAAGAAGTCGGTATTCTGTGCCCTGGCAGGCCTAGCCATGGCAGGTCTTTGCCAACCACTGACTCCTGAAAATAACATTATGTTTTCACCATCGAAGACCTCTTCGGGCCCTCTTCAATATGCAGGCGGCAACGCCCCGTACTTTGCAGGTAAGATTCTTGTTATCACGAGTCTCCATGTCTGATATACGTCTTAGGCCCAAATGTGAATGGCATCAACAACAAGGTCCCAGAACAATGCACTGTGCGGCAGGCTGCTTATGTCGTGAGACATGGTAGTAGGTATGGAGGCGATCAAACTACATCATAACCTCAATTATTTTGACCTCAAAGTTGGTAGGTTTCCAGATACTGGCTCATATGAGTCCTGGGTTGCGCTTGACCACAAGGTGCGTTACTCTTGCCTATATCCGCAGGGTTTACCTCTGCTAAATTTGCGCTCTTCGTCCCTTTCGTTTAGATACAAGCTGCAACACAACAAGATGGGTTTGAGGCCCGGGGATCGCTCAAGTTCATTCCAAAGTGGAAGCCGGTATTGACAAATCCTGCCTTGCAATTGGCACAGGAATCGATGACAGGATGGAAAGAGGTACACAACCAAACTTGAAAAACGATAATTAGTTCGCTGATAAACTCCAGGCAAATGATCTTGGTTACCAACTGCGGTCTAGATGTAAGGGTTTATTCTTCTTGCAAGTATGAAGTACTCGAGCTCATACTTTTCAACAGATCCCGGATTTTATCAGGATGGCACACCATTCTATGTGTGGGCTAATCAATACAAATCCCCAATCAATGAATCACGAGTGGTTCAAACCGCCAGAGCTTTTCTCAATGGCTACCTCTATGAGTATGCTGATAGCTATGGTACCGTCGTCAGCGTGAACTCTACAGGATCTCCTGCTGCCATTGGTAACTCTCTCGGGCCTTCGGATTCCTGTCCTGCATTTGGTTCTATCTCTAGTGGAGGGAATAACGTGACGAATTGTAAGCTCAACGACGCAAATTCTGTTTTTCCTTGATAAAATCAAGGTCCCCCATCCAACCCCCGTTCCCGGTCCAATAGCTCTAACAATGTACGCTTACATTTCTATAGGGGATGCTACCTGGCTGCCAACAGCCTTACATCGTATCAACTCCCAAATCAGAGGAAATCTTACGTTCGACGAAACTGATATACTCTCGTTCCCCTACATATGTGCATACGAGAGTCAGATTGAAGGCCGCCTCAGCCCCTGGTGTAGTGCTTTTACAGAAAACGAACTGCGCAACTATGCATACTCACAGGACCTGAGTTATTTTTATGGCGTCGGGCCCGGTTCAATTGGTCCATCCAAGGTGCTTTTCCTTCCATTCCTGAAAAGCTTGCTTTCTCTTCTAGAGGCCGGCCCTGGACAGGTTGGCGTGGGAGCCAACGGCACTGGGTTCAACATTCCGAACCTTATCATGGCTTTCCTGAATGACAACCAACTTGCCGAAATGACTGCTGCCATGGGCATTTTCGATTTCGAAGCCCCTCTTCCCGATGATCACATACCAGCCCACCACTTGTATAATGTGGCGCACTTTATCACCATGCGAGGGACTGTTGCTTTCGAAGTCATGGATTGCAATACCAGCAAAGCCACTGGTGGGCCCCACATCCGTATATTGTTCAATGACGCTGTTTATCCTATAGCCAGTTGCCAGAATGGCCCTGGAAGGAGTTGCTCGTTACCCGATTACATTTCCTTGATTGATAAAAAGATCAATGAGGCGGGTGACTTTTTGGATTACTGTAACGTGACGGAGGCGGACCACCCTGAAGCCCCTGCTGGAGCTAGTTTCTTCAAGGATCTTTCTTTGGACTTCTTAACTTTTGTCAATCCCTGATCTATAATCTGCTATTGCTTGCATATTTATGCTATTACGGAGACGCGGAGGTACTAGGATGGTTCTAGGGACTGCTACACAATGAAAACCCTTCTTGATCAGGTCCATGACATCGCCCACCTCTTTTGACTGGTACTAAGTGTGCGGGCGAGAAGAATATGATTGGTAGATGTAATTTAATGCACATAAAAAAACCCAAAGCTCCATGTCTTGACATGGGCACTATGGCACGTACCAGCCAGTTCTTCAAGCAGAAAAGTGCATTTCAACGAGAGTACTGAGAGCAGAGAGTAAAAAAGGAAAGAAATGAAAGGATCTACGGCCAACTTTCCATCCTGAAAATAGAATCAGGAAAAGGCCAGTTTACTCACGCAATGTGCGAATCATTTATTAGCCATCTATTCTATGATGCTAGTGCCAGCAATCAAAAATCCATCCAGAATTAACCATCAGTTTTGTTGATTGCACCTGCCTTAGGAAGCTATTTGCTCATTAGACCTGTGAGAAGTCTCCCTCACCCCCTATGAATTTGTATGAGCTGTTCTGCCTCTTTCCAGCAGAACATTCATGGTGCAGTTAATTGAGTTGGTCGGCAGACGTGAAAGCAACTCGCTAGAAACTGGCAATAGAGGAAGGAGCTGATATAAGAGGCATTGATTGGCATATTATTCGCACATTTTGCATAACCGGGGGGCGGGCACTGTGGATCGTAAACCACTGACAGTTTCCATTTTTCATTATAAAACTATATTAATTGACGGTATGCTGTTAAGCCTCAAGACCATAATATATATAAGCAAACGACTTAAAGATAGTTACATGAGGGCCTACCCATATCATAGTTCTAGAATTAGTATACTGTTAGGATAGGTCTACGTGGTGGACATCGAAGTGCATGGTGCAATGTGAGGTTGATTGAAGAGTTAAGAAAGTTAAGCTACAGAAACTGAGAAAGAGACCAAGAAATCTGACACTCCCCACGAAGAGGCAAACCTAGTTGTCGAAGAGGTTGTTGTATCGTACGATGGGGTTGCTAGGAGCATTGGCTGTAGTGGGCTTGTTGGTGGTAGTGTTAGCCGGAGTGTTGACCGCGTGAGCTGACTTGGGGTTGGCGGGATTCTGGAAGCACTCCTCTGAAGTGTGAGCGGTCTTTCGCTGGTGGAAAATGCAGAAGTGCCTTAGCTTCTTGCCTAGTTTGTTACCTTGGTTGTAAGTTGCGTTTGCGTCGTAAAAGACTGGATCGGAAGTGAAGTTTGGATGAGTAGCGAGGCGCCGATTCTCGGAGATAACGAAGCCGGAGAATGCCTCGATGAGAACTTGCTCGGACGTATCGTTGTTCGGGGGACGAAGGATATTGAGCCACTGATGAGTAGCGGGATTCACGCCAACGGCGGTAAGAAAGAAGAAGTACTGAGCCGTATTCGAAACGTGAGAGTGACCGCACGCCTCTACTAACTCGGCGTAGGCGGTACGCCACTTGATAACGAACTGTTGTGGAGTGGTGGCGTTGTCATACTTAAGGGTAGTCCACTTATGGAACTTGTCGAAACCTATATTGTAGGTACGGACGGCGAAGGCCTTGTAAAGACTCTGGTACGCGGCGGGAGCGTTAGGAGCGGTGTCGATGTAAGGCTTAAGAGAAGCGTGAACTGTGGCGTGAAGGTATGGAAGAAGGTGACGGGACTGACGAAGCCACTCTGCGAGAGCGGGGTCCTCGGGAGCTGGTTGAGCTATGTGGCCGGTGAGGATGTCGAAAAGACGAGGATCTAGAGCTCACTTGAGTGCGGTGGACCATGATGCGAAGTTAGATTCGCCGGTAAGGGTGGGAACGAGCTCTAAGAGCTTTGGCTCCGCGAGGCTAGTTGCCGAAAACATTTCGAGCGTACGTCAAAGGAGAGGTACTAACGTTGTAGGGGTGCGTTGAAGGAGTAGCACTGGCCGCGTAGCGAGCGATTTTGAGGTAGTTGTTGTTGTGGTACGTCGAAGGAGAGGGAGAGGCACTTGTGTGTGATGAAAACTCTGTGCGAGAAAAGCCCTCGGTTAGGGTATGTTGAGATTTATTGTTTGTTTGGATGGAGGTGACACCGTTTGTAGGTGTTTGTGGGGGTGGCCTGGCCGGTGATGTCGATGTCGATGGTGACGATGGTGATGACGATAGCGGTGGTGGCGTCGATGGAGGGTCCGATGGAGGATGACGATGAGGACGGTTGAATAGATCATCCAGGAGCTCATAACCTGTTAGGACAGGTCGACGTGGTGGACGTCGAACTGCATGGTTCAATGTGAGATCGATTGAACAGTTAAGAAAGTTAAGCTATAGAAGCTCAGAAAGAGACTACGAAATATACATATACACGGAGACCTGTACGGAGAAACTGTATGGAGAAACTGCATGCCTATTCCAATCAAACGAAATGGACGGGGGGAAAGAAAAAAGAGAGCCATTTATCGCTCTCCATGGTTATAGCAAATAACAGGTGTGGTCACTACGTGCTTAACAGCCTATCCAACAATGATCAATCATGAACAACATCCCTCTTTTGCTGCCGCGGAAGTTCGACAGAAGCATGAAACATTGACTGGAATTTCAGCAGTTGCCAAGGCAATATCCCGTGTAGGTTGAATGAAAGCAGCCTCTTGAGTCTTTCCAAGTCGAGTGAAGCATTCGTATAAGCCATGTAATCCCTAAACATTATTGAGTTTTGCCTTACGCCGAGGATAGTCAAGAGCGAAGCCAAGATCTTCCTTGAACAAAGTTTCTGCTTCTTCGACACGACCCTGCTCAAGGAGTAGGCCACCGAGCGTATGGCGGACTGGCTGCATCTAGGTAGGGGGTTAGTGTACGCGAGCTCATCCTCGCGTATAATGGCTTCCCGAAGGGAATAGAACGCCGCCTCGATATTTCCCTTCCGATATTCTAATTTACTAGTAAGTATAGTAGACCCAACTGCGAGAATATCTTCCTCCTTACACGGAATGCTATTGAGTCGGGAGCTCGGAACGACCTTACGCGCCGCTTTAAACTCCTTTTGAGCAGCTTCGGCTTCTACAATCCGTCTAAGTACGCTAAATATAAGGCCGCGAGTATAATAGATAGTGGCTGTAGTTACGTAATATATATCGCGATCGGCGGGAAGCTTAAGGTTAAAAATCTCTTCCTAGTGACTAAAGCGTACTAGTACGTATGCCTTACTTCCTAAGAAGCTCTCGATAAAGTCCGCTATTAGGGGGCTTTTGACAGATAGTAAGTTTGGATTAATAATCTATTCGAGCTTTTCTATAGCGGATATCGCGTCCGTAAATTAGCTAGATATTATAGCGGAATATAATTTTGTATAAACGTAATATACCCGGTAGGCCGCGTATATAGTTATACCCGTCTCTCGTATAAAGTAGATATCGTTAGTAAGTATCGCTTTTTGGTTAGAGTCGATATCACGGCGATAGTTACCGATAGCGGTATTAATATACGTCGGTATATATAATATATACGAAGCGTACGGAATTATACCGCGTAGTCGATCCGTAGCCGGGAGAGCTAATTCTAGAAATAGCGATATCTCTATTATATATATATATAAGTGATAGATTGCTAGATGATTGCGACCGGTGGTTTGTAGTTTTAGCTCAATCACTTCGCGAGCCTCGACTGTATGATTCCCGGTTGGTTTACCCGTATTTAAGTCCTATAGCCCGCGCGGAGTGATATATATAAGCGATTCTGCAAATAGCGCAGCTATATCTATATTATCTCTAAACTAATGATATATAGAGCGTATCGCGTCCGTATACGCGCGGTCGAAAGGGCCTAGATCCTCGGGGATGTTATCAATTGGTAGGAAACGAGAGCTAATTGCGCCGATTAAGGCTTGTTCGACTAGCGTGGCCTAGCTCGCTAGCTTAGACGCTCGGACGAGGATATCCTTGACCTTCTTGATAGAAGCCTAACGATCCTCTAGGTCAAAATATCTCTAAGCCTTATTGTAGTTGGGCCTAGTCGCATACGCAACACCCCAGAGAGCCATAGCGCAATTGGAGTCGCTTTTAGCAGCTCGTTCGAAGCATCGGACCGCTTTACCATGGTTGAAAGAATGAGCCCATATCAATCCGCGATCGATCTACATTTGGGCTTCCGCTGACGATGTAGTCACTGGTCGACCATACGAACCAAGGTCATAATAGGCATTTTCCTCAGCCTTAGCGGGAGAATTGGTTTGAATTCTAATTGAGCGTTAGAGCACGGTTAATGATATGGATTTTATGAACAGACTTACTGCATATTGGAAGTAACGAAGTTAGCGGATTTCGTCATAACTCTAGGATCACTAGATCGATGTAGTTATTCGAGAGTTGGGGTCAAGGCATATATATATATACCCAAGGAAGGACATTGGGGGATGATTTCTGTGAATCCACCATTTCCCCACCCAAGTGATTTCTAAAGAGAACAGCCAGGATGCATGTGCCGAGCGGGATATTGGGCGGGATATGCTGGGCGGGATACCGACAGCAGGATCCATGGTTACATAACCCGGGGATCGATTAACAATCATAACCCCGAGATGGTTACCCGGTAATTTCAGGTTTCAATGCGGCTTTCATGAACTTTCTTCAACCTATAATAACAGAACAAAACCTATTTATTAAGGTGCATAGCAGACGCTTAGGAGGAAGCAAGAGACGAATATAAAAGCCAAAAATAAATTTATTATTGTCGTAGCTGCGGCTTAATATTCAGTTTAGAGCTTAGAAAGACAATTGGTAACTTAGTGTTGTGAAGGTTAAATACAGTACAGAGTATTTACGTGACAGACCCACTGTGGCACTCTCTCTGTCTCAAAATGGTTAGCTTGCCCGCCAAGACGATAGGTTTTGGGGAATGCAACTAAACAAAACATTCACAGGTAGAACATAACATGCCTAATGGTTTTTGACAACAAGACCCAGTTCGAAGTTTTACGTTGGAACGGAAAATTGGTTTTGTGTTTCGCCGAAGGTAAAATAGGCTGTTATAATTGAAGGCGATTGCCGATTTCTTACTTTCTCTTCCAAATTTAGGTCCAAATGGAAAGATCGCAGGGGCTCATGCAACACCTGAAGCCAGTCAATAACTTTACCAGGGTGATTTTCGGCCCACGATACTGAACCGTTGGTCGATATGTACCTTCCAGCAGAGATAATTGACCTTGTATGATTTGTACCAGTCCAGCCCTGCACCTCTACTAAACCTAAACAATTATTTTGGCAGATTACGTTTTATGTCGAGATCAGCACTTCGCAATGTTCTCCAAACACGCCGACTTCTCGAGAACTCCGAACCATAAACAACTATAATCGGAGTAATCTGGCTAAACTCCGCTTGGTCAACAAAAGATTTTGTTATAGTGCCTCAACGCGTCTTTTCCGACACATTATATCCCTAGCCGGTTCGTTGTACCACACCAGGCATTTTCCATCCCTAGGAAAGCTGGTGAGCCTTCCCAATAGCCAGTATGCCCAATATGTGCGTCGAGTTGATATTGGATACGCTTCCTTCCCATGTTCGATAAGGGAGGTTATATCATACACGGAGGACCTTGCCGGCTTACTGTCTTCATGCTTGCGTCAATTCCCCAATCTCAAAGCTCTCGACTTCCGTGGTCCGTCATTGACGTTCTTGCCTCATAATAAGATGAAAGCATCGATCGACTCAATGCTCATGTCGTTATGCTACGTGCCTCTGCCCAACTTGACGGAACTTGAACTTCGGTTACCAATGACGAATGATTTTGCTCCATTGTTTGCCGAAAATATAAGCACATTGCGGATACCGATTGAACAGACTCTCAGTCGCCTTCACTATATTGGATTGCACGTCTATGCGCAAACAAACCAGCAATCCTGTGCGACCCACTTGTTGAGAATCGTGGAGCTTTCAACAAGCCTGATTTCCCTCTCGCTCAGCAGCACGAACTATCTAAGTATTGATCGTCTGAAGCTCGGCCCAACGGTTCACCTGCGGTTTTTATCCTTGCACAAAGTGAAAATTTCATCTCGAAATCTCCTCAATATTTTTGAGCAATGCAGCGAGTCGATGAAGTATATCGAGTTAAGGCACGTGAAGCTCGAGGGTGGAACATGGAGAGAAATTCTGTCCGCAATCGATGGTTTACCGAACCTGTATGACTTTGATATATCTGTTGGCGAAACTCCCATATGAAACGTGAGGTTTCATTCAGCCGTGACAACATCCTTCACTGCAGAGAATGTACAGGACCTTGGGTCATTTGGGCTAGGTCATGTTACATTTCAAAATCTCAAACAAAGGATAAAAATGAAGCGAGCGGTGGCGCGACATTCAGCCGTTGGATAAGGCCCTGCTTTGCATGGCATTGAAGATCAAACGCGGACAATAGAAAGAGATCTTATCCCCAACGGATGGTTTACTATATCTATATGACCAGCGCATTTGTTGGCGGGTTTCTCACAAGAAGTGGCTGGATTCATTCGGCTGCAAACCTGTGGTTCGCAGCCTAGATTGCCCTGTATAATACATAATCATTCTTCCTCACTAACACTTGGTGACCATTGAACCTTTTGTGCTAGTAAGGACTGAAGTCCTCCTTCTGTCTTTGTTTTCATATAGTGTAGTGAGTCCTTGCGCAGGGAATAGAAGTCGGGGGAGGCTGGCCCCACGCTACTGCCTGTGGTACTAATTCCGTTCGGGGACCTACCCGCAAACTGTACGATTTCAGTACGTCAAGATATTGTCTGGGCGAGAGTCGATGCTGGATGGTGGTGATTGCCTGGTGAGTCCTCCGGCACTATCTATTAGTAGAGCGGGCATGATCCATCGTCAACAAGTCTCGGAGACAAGCAACCTTCTAACTACTGTGTGCATCCTATGTCTACCGAGGAGAGGGGACTAATCTTTTTGTTTCGTGGGATGCTTCATTTTGGAAAATGCAAATTGGATTGATGAGCGTGAAATATCAGCTTTTTGGATTTGAGAAATTTGTCTAAATCAACATACAAGTCACACGATATATCTAAAACAAGTTGGAAAAGGAAAAGGCAAAAGTAAAGAAACAAATTGAGGCCGTAAGAGGGCCACAGGTGTCACAGTATTGAGAGATTCACAATCAAAAAACAACCTTGGGAACACCAGGAACTGTCCAGCACACCTTGTCCGAAAATCCCTCTTGCTTGAAAACCTCTAGCAACTCTGCTCCACCCTCCTTGAAGTGTTCCCACGATTCGAAATGAATTGGGACCATGACATCGGCGCCAATATCACGGGCAAGCCGAACAGCTTGTTTGCCGTCCATTGTAATCTGAATAGGGCCAGTTGGGAAGTCAAAGGTAGCATTTCCCAAGTTGAAAATGGCCGCAGTAATGTGCCACTTCTTGCCAATCTCTTGCAGTTCATCAATGTAGACGGTATCTCCAGAGAAGTAGATTGCATTAGGCTTGCCAGATGGATCAAGACCGAAGGAATCGGTCTCTAGGACGAAGCCCGTAACTTCTCCAACTGGGAAGTGCTTGCAAGGGGTACCAGTAATTCGGTACGTTTTTCCTCCGATACAAGAAGTCACAGTCTCCCAGAGGCGAAGGCCGATGACTCCTGGGCGTGGGCGCAAGTTGGAGGCACCGTCCATGGTGGTAAACACCTTTCGACCATCCAGCAGCTTACGGCCTTCAGGGTCCAAGTTATCAAGGTGATCCTCATGGCTAAGAAGTACAGCATCGATCGGCGGCAGCTCATCGAGCTGAAGGGCTGGTCCTTGCTTGTTGATAAGGTGCGGTGGTGGCGGGACGCTCTCAAGACCGTACGGTTTCAGATCCATTCGCTCCCAGACCGCGCTTGAATCATACTCTGTCCCTTCGATGGCCCCGAAGAAGGGATCTGTCAGGAAGTTGACTCCATCAATGTTGAGAATGGCAGTTGCAGTAGTAATGTGTGTGATTGTAAGGGTTGTTTTGGATGTTGCTGCCATTGTTGCGGTAAGAGCGAAAGTCGGGGAATGTAAACTTTTTGAATAGTGTTGATGTGATTGAATAAAATGGAATATTGAGACACACACACTCTTTTCAAGGAAAATCGAGGTTTAAATACCTTTTTGCTTTTGCTTTTAACTGAAAATATTAGAAATTCGGTTTCATTCTACTGATGATGTAAGTTCGGTTCATCCCACCCGCCACGAAAATGGAGAGAAATGTGTAATATGTGGGATAGCGACTGGAGACATTTGCCACGAAAATGGAGATAAATGTGTAATATCTCTGTGGGATAGCGACTGGTTTATTCAGCAATTTAGCCCAGTGGTTATGAAAGACGAATAGCAGTTGTCACTTCACGAAGGGGCATGGCGCGCAGGGTCGCTTTCGTGATAACGTACTTGGTATATGGGAGACATAGTAAATGCGATAAATTACAACCTGATCTTTTGAATGGTTTTTATATGTTACCTAGTCGCTTCGGGGATTTTCGACAGTTCTCACGATTCGGCGACTGAGATATATATATATTTTTAAAGGCCCGACGACGTAATTTCCCATACGACAATAGTATAAGTCTCCCATTATTTCAGAATTGATATATGCTACTAAAAGTCAGTAGTCAATAACTCTTAAGGTCTTTGTAATGGCAAGTACTCTTATTTTCCGTCAGGCAAATTTAGGAATTAAGGCTTCAAGATTGTGGGAAACGACCCTGCGTGTACCTGCGTGCTATGCCCTTCGTGGCCACTACGCTTGAAAACCTACTCCCCCAAGACCGTATTCTATTTTAGATATCCCGTTGCAACTACGAAAAGAAAAACGTAACCCCTTGTAACTTCAAATCCAACTGTATTTTGGTCTTTAGTCAAGACATCTTACATTATAGGATTGCCACGAGTCAACCGGTTCGGAGATAGATGGATTTTGGGACGTTGTTATAGAATGACTTATCATAGACATCAATTTGCACTTTGAACAAACACAAAGCCTATGTAATATTTCGCTAGTATGATTTTTTCAAGCTGCTTACAGCCTTTCTACCGCTTTGATAAAACGACTCGCCTTTCGAATTCTGTGTCCGTAAAAGTAGAAGACAACAGGTATCAAGATGCATATTGCCTCAACAATTCCCAGGATTGTACTTCCCCAATTCAAGCCCAGAGTCTTATACATTGATGGTCCTGCAAGCGGGAGTACTGCTCCCATGATACTGCGAGTGAGCATATTTCCTGCAAGCGCAGATGCGGCGTAGATGCCATAAGACCGGGCAATGTAGTTTGTGGCGTAGATGAAGACGCACGCATTACCAATTCCGAAGGGGACACCAGCTAGGATAGGGACGATCCAGTGGACGTTTGGGGTACAGGTCCAGGAAAACCACAATTGGCCAACGGCTAAAAGAGTAGCACCAAAAATGACGACGCTGACCATCGCCTCCGGTTGTACCATGCCAGTTTCTGGATCCTTGGTATGAAAATTGATCACTTTACGAAATAAAGGTTCGCATGCAATGGCGATCAAGACACCGACTCCTATACCGACGAATGAGAGCCCACCGATGCCTGGCGACCACCCACGTTCTTGTTGGAAAGCGATTGGATACGCGACGAAACACAGGTAAAGGATGCCATAGACAATCGCAACGTAGCCGTCCCAAAATATGCTGCTAGAATGTTAAAACTTGGCTTTGTAGGATGACGGGGGAGTAGCTTACCATATCGGCTCTGTTAGGAGCATCACGAAAGGTCTTTTCAGATTAATTCCTAGTGAAGATGTAAAACTGACATCATCATCATAACGTGTCCACCACTTTGGATTCTGCGTCTCTTTTCGTTTTCTCGCAGCTCGTCTTTTTAAGATCACGGGGGCGTATGTTTCTTTGACCGAGGCTATCAGGACTAGGATCACACCCCCACCGATGAGAACAATCCAGTTTGTCCACCTCCAGCCAAGGTATTCGAACACGAACCCTCCTATGATTGGGCCATATACAGGGCCGTTCGTGGGCCCAATAGACCAGAAACCGAATGCTAAAGCCCGGTGCTTATCCGAGACGATATCATTCACAGATGCGGGCGAGTTCGACATCAATGCACTTCCAAAGAATCCTCCAAAGAATCTGCTCACAAGGATTGATTCAATGTTTTCAGCTAAAGCACTCGGCAACAATAGCAACAAAAATATCATCATAGAGAGAATATAAACTGGCCGCCGTCCCACAAGCTCGCTAAGTGGAGCAAAAATGATGCTGCCTATCCCCATTCCGGAAAGATAAGTCGTGACACCAAGGAGGGCCACGATCTTCGACACGTGAAAATCTTCTTGTAGTCCTGGAATCCCAGACGTATACAGTGTGCTGGAGAGACTGACGACTGTAGCACCAAGGCTCATAGCAGCGACAGTAAGACCTTTGTACCAAAGTGGCCAAAGGCGGGGATTTTCGGGGTCGTTAGGGTCCCAGTAGATTTCGAATTCCGGAGGTGCATGTATGCTGGCCAATTTGGAAATTGCTGGCTCGAGATCCGAGGCGAAGTAGGTTTCAGTGCCGACATCAAGGCTGCCGGTTGGTGCACAGTCGTTGCGCAATGTTCCCGGATGATGGAGGTTGGGCATTATGGTGCACTCCAATTGAGACCCACTGAACTACCAAGAGATCTTTCCAGGTAGGTACGGAGTAGTGGAAGTAGTAAAAGGACTAACTCCATTTCGAAGGTTTCCCATTTATAGATATAGACTTGGATAGTCGGCCTATCCCACTTGCCGGGTTATCCAGTTCATCCACAGATATTTGATTTAGTGAACTAGCTAACTACAACACAACATAGGAGATATCGCCACCTGTGGAGTTATTCATCAAGTGGGATGACCGGTGCGATTTCATTGGTCACCTTTTTTTTTCTCGGGGCCCCACCTGGTTAACCGACCTCAAGGGAGCTCCCAAGTCATTACGTTCGCTTGTCCCTTTTGGCCTCCTTCAACTTTTGCCATTTCACAAAAGTTCAGCAGAAATTCTACACAATGTCGCCTTCTGCCAATATTGCCCCTTTGTGGTTTAAATGTGACTATCCAGATTGCAACGCCAAATATCGGCGTAAAGAGCACCTAAAGCGACATCGTAATCATCATGATAAGGAAATCAATCTCGCCTGTCCTTATTGTGAGAGCGTCCTAACCAGGAAGTAAGTAGTTTCTTCAAACCTATGGGGAGACTTTCAACTCAGAGAATACTCAGTGATCTGTTGCGACGCCATATCCGGACTTACCATCCGCAGAGAGAATCGCCCCCGTCTCGAAAATCCAGGGCATGTAGTGCATGCCATGCTCGGAAAGTCCGCTGTGAAGGTGTATTACCATGCAATGCCTGTCAACGTCGCGGCGTCCTCTGTGTGTCTAGCGGTGGTGAAACCGTAGACGAACATCAATTCTCGATCGATGATTTCTGCCCTCTGCCGCCTGTTTCCACGATTAATGATTCCGATTCTGACGTTCCCCGGTGGATTGCTCATGACTATATTGACATTTACTTTAATACCTTCCATCCAGAATGGCCGTTTCTCCATCGAAGTACATTTAACTTCGTCAAGGAACCTTGTGTGCTTGTTCAATCCGTTGTCGCAATCGGACTTTGGGTGAAAGGGACTCAGGAGGCACGAGACGCATCAATACGTCTACATAATAAACTATGTTCCGCATTTTACGCTCAAATGGTGAGCAGAAGAAGCATTATAGCGTTAACTGCATATAGAATTGTGTGTTGATATCATCCTTTTGCTCTAGGACCAATGGTGCATCTCCAACTCGAGTCCACGTCAACACACAAATACCTCGTGGCCTATAACCTCATTTCAAAGCGTGCTCTTGAATATCATCCTTGCCCTTTTCATTGCAAGAGAGAATGCTAGTACAAATTTGAGCATGCGATGCCGATTACCAGACGACAAATACGACCTCCTGGCTGCGCTTGTTCAAAGCTGTCGACGGTGGGGTATTTTCTACTACCCTAACATGCTTCTGCAACACGATGCCGATGCACCACTCCCGCTTATATATGTGAGCGTGGAAGAGATCAAGAGATTTGGACTTGCCCTCTATAAGGTGTGCCGATTGTCCACCCCCACTTCCTTTGGCTTGAACGGAGAATGTTCCAATGGTGGTGGAAATGATCTTCTGACCCTGGCCGACTTGTCCTTTTGCATGCCAGACAGTGATGAGCTGTGGAATGCTCCATTGGGCGGGGAGTCCGAGGTGTTAAACAAGTCCGATTCATCCGCAATCGGACGGGATAATGGAGATGCGAAAAACTGGATATCTCAAGCATCTGCTCTTCTATATGACACACGAGTTGGCTTTGATTGGATATAGCTGAAACTATCCTAGAAGATGCGGCTAATCAGCTACATATCAAAATCCAGGCTATAAACACAACGATTGAACATATTCCCTTACTATTTTCTTTCATACTAGAATGGCAAAGTTTTGATAAACTGATAAACGGGAAGGAATAGAAATGCTACATTGGTTACCTAGTCTTTTACCGGAAATCTATTTTTCTATAGTACTATATATATATATATATATATTGCTGTCTAATCGGCGATACAACTTTTCAATCTAGAACCTGTCATTTCAAGAGACTTCTAGTATATTTTGAGTTCGACAAATACTTTTGCCACATTGGACTCGCACCTTCGCCACCCCAAGGTCCACAACCTCGGGAAGTTATGTATTACCCTTAGATCCATGTCCAGGTGGGATGGCCGTGGAGTGATCGCCCCAGCCTGTCCAGGTGGGATGGCCGACCCGATGATTATTTGTCCCCCGCAAAATCTATGGGATTTCCAAGCAAAAAGTACAACGTACCTCCATATAAACACATATAAACCAACTCTTCGTTTTAATATCGAAGGTATCTACCGCAACCCAATCCAAGCTTCCATTTTTCAAAAGAATTCTCTCTACTCTACAATGTCTTCTACCCCTCAATCCTTCCGTGAGATCATCGGGATCCCCCGCTCCTCAGCTTCCCCGCAGGACTCAACCCTCATCATTATTGACGCCCAGAACGAATACGCCACAGGCGCCCCTCAAGACGGAAAATGTTACAGAAACTCGCAAGTCCATTGCTAAACTATTGGAACGTTACCGTCAAGCCGGTAACGGCAAAAACATCGTACACGTCGTACATGAGGTGCCCGAAGGCGCACCCGTATTCACGCCAAACACCCCCCTAGCGCAAGAGTTTGAGGAACTCACCCCTCAAGGCGAAGAGAAAGTGGTCACCAAGAACTTTCCTAGCTCATTCGCAAAGACCGATCTGCATGCCTATTTGCAAGGTCTAGGCGATGTAGGAAAGAAAGTCGTGTTGGTTGGCTATATGGCGCATGTCTGTGTCTCCACCACTACCCGAGCGGCTGCTGAGCTTGGATATGATGTGCTCGTCGTGAAGGATGCAGTTGGTGACAGGGATATCCCTGGTGTCAAGGCCGAGAATTTGGTGTCTGTTGTGTTGGGTGAGCTGGCGGATGGGTTCGGGACTGTTGTCTCCGAGAAAGATATTCGTGCATAGGCAACCGGTGCAATCTCACCAGTGCAATCTCAAGCTGCAAGGTCTGTTGGATTTATCTCAAAAGGCTTACTGTATAAAGGACCGTTCAGCAAGTACACAGCATTGCTCTTATTGGCGCTCCTTGGATGCCAAACGATGCCGTTGGGCATGACTTGGAAATATACGAACGCTGTTTAACGGTGGCCATATCTATATTCTAAAAAATGAGATCATTAGTTCATTTTTCTCTAATCCTCACCTTAGTATGCTCATACAGCCCGCTTGCTTACGCATAATGATCCAGACTGAGAAGGAACACTCATCTATTCAGAATGTGGTTCAGTCAGGACCCGGAAAGATTTCGGGCAAAGCCAGGCAGAAAGTCCTTCGGTTTTCATCATCTCGTCGGTCAGCGCATTATGAAGGGTCAGTGAAGCAAAATAACTTCCCTTTGCCTTGGACTCTCTCGTCCCTGCACTTGCTTTTCATCGTTCTAGGGTCATAACGTGCGCAGCGTGCGTCACCCGTATGTGATAGCCGTAGCCTGCATATCGCCGAAAGATTTGGATGCCAGGTTACGTGACGTATATAGATCTGCAGGAGTGGTGGCCTGTTAGGAAGGCACTCCGCTAGGCAGCAGGGAGATGAGCTGCTGCAACTACATATAGCTCCATGTAGATTAGTCATCACACTTGTACCTCAATCCAGGGTTTCAGAAAGAGTCAGATTCTAACTGCCAACCCACTAAGCCGGGTACAGATTTATATTGTAGTCTAGTTGGAAAGTCAAGTAAAAACGATGAACCAGGGTAAACACCCATCAATCCATCCATCCAAAGGTGGAGGAATCAATCGCTAAAAGAGGAAGCTTGGAATGTTCTGTGGTTCAAAGCCCGTCTCAAGCCGATGGGACATGTAACTAACCCCTGGTACGGGATTATGGGATGCATGTCCTTGTCCATGTGATGCCAAAGAAGGTATAATGTTGTGTGATATATCAGAGGTTAACGCGTCGGAAGGGGAATTGGGAAATGTTCCATCTGGGGGGCTGACATATTGCAACCAAGGAAATTCGCCGAACAGATTTTGACTCAGTTCTGGATCAACGGTGGTGGAATGGAGAGTATCCTTGGCAATATTCATGACATCAAGGCTCACGGCTTTGCCGGTGGTGTGACCAACATGGTGGATTTGGTCGAGACACTCAACCCCTCTTTCGACGGCGGCAAACATAAATTTGGCGTGGTCTGCGTTGGTCTTCGGGTCCAACACATCGTACAGCAATGTTATACAAGCAGAAACTAAAATGGCGGCAGATGATCCGTCGAAACGCGCGCGAGGATACCGTCGAAAGTAAACGTCGTGGATTAGGTCGATGATGTTGCTAGCTGCTTTAGTTGTTTCCTGGATGGAATGATCGATATTGAACCTATCTCCTACGCTTCTCTGGGCTTCTTCCCGAGAATCAAAAAAGGCGGAGAAGATAAGGGCATGTCGATGCATGAGCATGCGGATGAAGTAGTACTGGCAACCAAGCGTCAACCGCTGCACCTCCTGCCATCCACGACCTAGAGGTAGGGTGGTATCGAAGAAGTGAAGATAAAGGGGTAGTTGGCGGGTGACAGATTCCAGCAAAGGCTCGGCTTCGGCCGCCGGGTCTCCCACCTGTGCGGGACTAGACATGCTGGGAATACTTTTCGGCGAATAAATCTCCAGACAAAGCAAATCCGCAACCTCGCCAATGCCGGCCATAGCGCGAACAAACCCGCACAGCCGCAAGGGTTCCCGAAAGTTCTCAGCTGTCGCGTCTGGCATGGCCGGCAATGGGAGGTCCTCTGGGTATGGCGCATCGTTCAAATCATCTCGGAATGCCGATGGACGACCTGTGTAAAGAGAACATATCCGCTCAGTGCTATAGATTGCCCAGAACGTTCGCTTTAGGGAGTGTGCAACCACATTAGCCCCGTTAACCACTTGCTGTCTATTGATCCCCAACGCCATCACACTGCGAGCCGCATGACCTAGGTACAGATATGCTTCATTGGGCCGCATTACTTGAATAGCGTACATGCCCTGTGTATCTCCTTTAGCAGCCTATTTCCACCGGGCTTGGGCTTTTCTTCGGGAAAAAAGAGCGAACTAACCTTAAGAAGCAAAAATATCGTCGAATGCAGACTTACGTCTTCGAAGGTCGCGTGCAACCCATTTGCTTTTGTGGCAAAATAATCCGCCCAATCCTTTAACACTGAAGTGTCCTGTTGGCCTTGGGCGATAGAAACCCTGGCTCCGATAGCCAACACCATGAACAATATCTCCTTTCCTTTTTTTACTCTTTGTTGCGCCGGTGGCTTACCCATATCCTCCCATAGCTCGACGATGTCTGCATAATTCAGTACTGGGATCTGGGGATGGATGATCTCGAAAAATGCATCAATTAAAGTAGACCCCTTCTCTTGTGAGAGATAAGCATCGGGCTGGCCAGTGGGCGGACAATTGGCATTCAATGAGAACATGAAGCGCTCCAAGTTCCATTTCCCTAGTCCACCCTCTGCCGATGTTCTGGGTGTCAAAAGGGTCTCGTTCGTCGTTTGTGTGATCCGCTGACACGTGCGCTCTATAAAGCAGAAATGGGACGATGGCCCTACAATCAATTAGTTGCACATTCATCTAGCTCAAAGATGAAAAGGGGGACAGCCAGCGACCAGGTTGTAAAGGTCCAGACTACATACCGTAGAATTGAAATGAACCACTATCGACATTCGAAATCCCAATGCCAGCTCGTAGCTCTCTTTGCCGTTTGAATTGTACCGGGTCCTGTAATGTCGGGGCGGCAGGTCGTGGGGGTGGGTTATATGAAGACAGGTGGGTTGAGCTGGCAGTGGCGTCCTTAACACGCGTTCTCCTCTTACGTGTTTGCGGTTCGGTTCGGTAGATACATGGGTGGTGGCCAGGGCGGCAAGTGGCGCAAGGGACGTTTCCATCACAGCGGACCTTGCGGGAACGGCATCGCTCACAGGCACGAGGGATCCGAGGAGACACCCCCGGCGCGGATGAAAGGCGAGGAATGTCGAGGGTGGACATTATTCTGGCTACTAGCAGGATGACGGCTGATTCAAACCAAGTCACCTACCTATGAGGGATGAATATCTCGGAGGTTTTGCTCTCGCTAAGTTCCGTCTAAGTTCCGATAACACGTCACCTGACCCTATGTCAGCTTGCTTTGTGTGGTCCTTTAGGTCCGAGATCACTTCGAAACCCCCCAAAGCCCGGAATGAAGTCCCTAGTTATATATTTCATAATTGTAGTGGACTTCCTGGTTCGCTTATTAGAATGTTTGTCTTATTTGCTATCTATTTTACTTATTTTTTTTTATTGTATTGTGCGACGAGATAGACTGCATACATATCATATCGAAAATCTCATTCATTCCACTACCCCCTGACCGTATGTCACTATCTATCCTCATCAATCCTAACCGTACAAATCGCCATCCATCTCATAGATTTCAACTACTTTACTTACTAAGGGCGGTGTTATGGTAATTCAGGTATTCATATTTTCTGCCGGCAAATATTCAAGCATATTCAGGCATCAATATTACTAATATTAGTCTCCGACCCCTGGCCGGGATACACCTTCGCAGTATTGCCTTCCCGCCTTGTCCCGGATATGTAGTTACCTGGGAATGCTGACATCCTCAAAGGAGTTAGGTGGACTCCTACATTTAGGCAAAAAATGAAAATGCTACTTAAATAGGAGTGAACACGAACAATTGTACTTGTACTGTATGAACGAATAACACTTGTTCAGTCATGATGGATGATTGATAATTGATAATCCAGAGTAAGCAGAGTAAAGAAATGGATACCAGTTCTCCAACTCCGTAAAGGAAGCGCACTCAAACAGGATAGGAAATCAACTGCAACGAGATATTTCTCTTCGCCCACCACATACCTAGAAGTTTGCACGCCTAGCTCAGTCTCATGGAACCAAGAGATGGCGAGGTATATGATATATCAACCTCGAGACATGTTCCTATAACTTGCTGACAAAAGAAATAAACGCCATGTGTCACCTCACATACTACAACTATGATGGCTTCGATAAGCTTCTCCACGAATGAAATAAATACCGTCAGGCCGTCCGAATCGGTAATCGAATTGAATACTCCGGGCAAGGCATGTACACACATCATCCCCATCACCATATCCTAACCAACTACCAAATCCACTAACCCACTACACTTTGTAGTAGACGGTTGGAACCCCCAAACCGGCACCTTCAACAGGGACATAAGATTGTCAGGAGATGTTGTCTTTGATGATTCTTATAGTTGTATGCTAGGAGATATGTTAATAGATGGGGAGTCCCATCTTGGTAGTCGCCGCAGCTATCGTAAGAGATACAGTGGTACTGGCAGTTTAGACTTGCCATCAATCGTTGCCAAATGTTGTCGATGCCGAAGTAACCCGATACAAAGGCCAGGCTGAGGTTCTTCGGGCTCGGAAATAAACTTCCGGGCCGGCGTCGGTGGTAAAGATCGATTCAGTTAGAGTCCTTGCCAAGCAACCCAACCTTTTGCAGGTGTTGGGTTACCACACACTAACGTAAACTCTTGCCCTAACGTAAAATGTACCTTTTACTAGTCATTCACATATAAAAGGTACATACGGCCTATCATCTGTCAAAATTCGACAAAAATTGATAAAAATAAAATGAATCGGATAGTACCATTTCATCTATATATAAAAATATATAGCACCATTTTAATATCCAAAACCGGCGTTATCGTGGTGTTATATCACGAAGGGAATTTGAACAGCCTTCGAAAGATGTTCGCGCTATATATCCACGATCCCCTCTCTAGAGATTATATTTTATAGAGAATATATTTTGATAGACTATAATTATCCTATCTAGTTCGAGAGTCGAGAACCCCTAATTTTCTGGATTTACCTTTAATATGTGAATTCAAAAGGTACATTTTACGTTAAGAAAGAGCATACGCTAAAAGTGTGTGGTAACCCAACACCCGGGCGGTTGGGTTGCTCGGCAAGGACCGGGTATAGGCTGTCTTATATTCGGACCTGTACGATGCCCACCGGCTGTTAGTAAGTCATGCCCAACAGATTCTCGGTCAAGATAGTAATGTTGCAAATTGTCCCGAGGTCGGCACGCCGTTCGGATGTTAGTTAGAGTCTTAACTTCCGCTCCGAGATAATTCTGATGAACCCCGATAGCAAAGGCGTACGAAGTATATAAAGTTTTTGGTCTCGTCAATCTACTGAATACCAAAAAGAAACCATTGACCAGTACATCCCAGCCATGTCGTTCGTGGACTCGACACCATCCTCCGATGCAAGTCGATCCGATTCTAAACCATCCTTTCCAACCCAACAAGTCGACTTCCACGTCGATCTCGAAAAACGCGAGAATGCCTCAAACCAACTACCAATTTATCGTCACGAGGGACGGGGTCTCGGAGTCGCATTCGACAACATCAAGGTGCAAGGCCAATCTGGGGGTCAGCGGACAGTCCTAGACTTGCCCCAAATTTTACGCAATATCCTTCAAGCACCGCTGTCACTCTTCAGTAAGCTAGTCAACCAACAGACAACACCTCGAAGTACTATCGTCCAGGGAGTGTCCGGAGTCCTTTTCCCCGGCGAGACCATGCTTGTACTTGGTCGCCCTGGCTCTGGATGTACCACCGTGCTGAAGGTCATAGCCAACAATCGCGACTCCTTCGTGGCAGTTGATGGGGAGGTTCATTATGGCGGAATCAAGGCACAAGAAATGAACCAGGGCCTCAAGTCTGAGGTTGTGTACAGCTCGGAGGATGATCTGCATTTCCCGACTCTTCCGGTGAAGGATACTTTGGACTTTGCCCTAAGACTGCGAAAGCCGGCAAAGTACCCTGGAAAGGATGCCCAATTTTCAGCAGAGTTGACAGATAAGCTTGTCAATGCCTTGGGAATTGCGCATACTAAAAACACCATCGTGGGAGACTCGTTTACTCGAGGCGTATCGGGTGGAGAGCGCCGACGTGTCTCCCTTGCAGAAGCGATGGCCGTAAACTCCACTCTCGTTTGCTGGGATAATCCCATCCGTGGACTCGACAGCTCTTCTGCTCTGGAATTTTTGCATGTCCTGAAGCGCATGTCCAAAGCAACAGGGATGACGAATGTGGTCACCCTCTACCAGGCCTCCGAAACCATGTACCGTGAATGCTTCGATCGTACCATCGTCATGTATGATGGACGTATGATATTCAGCGGAAGGGTGGGGGAGGCCAAGCGATACTTTGAGGATCTCGGCTTCTATTGCCCAGATAGACAGACCACCCCGGACTTCCTCACCTCTGTCACCTCCCCCGCGGAGCGAAGGATACGAAACGATTACCAAGGCCCTGTGTATCTCGACTCAGAATCTCTAGCCCAGGCCTTTTGTCAAAGCCCGCATTATGCACAGCTCCAGCAACAAATACACCAATATTCTCGCTCTACGGAAACGAACGAAACCGCCCAAGATGAATTTCGCAGGGAGGTGGGAGGACTCCGATCCTCAATGGCCTTCAATAATGCTATTGAGCCCGCCACATTGGGAAAGCAGATCCTTGTAGGTACGAAGAGGTACTACAAGCTGTTTTGGAATGACCGGAATACCTTCTTCACCGTTGTATCCCTGTGTATTGTGAATGCACTCATCGCAGGCTCCGGGTTTTACGCTGCACCGAAGACAGCTTCTGGTTCATTTGAGAGAAGTGGAGCTATGTTCTTTGCCCTGGCATACTTCTGTTTGAATGCATTGACCGAGGTTGTGAAGACAGTCAATGCTCGCGCCGTTCTGCTGAAGCAACACAACCTGGGCTTCATCCACCCTGCCGCATATGCTATTATTCAGACTATTGCCGATATCCCCGCCGCATTGATCCAAACGCTTGTATTCACCTGCTGCTATTATTTTCTCATTGGGCTCAGTAGCAACGCCTCGCAGTTCTTTATTTTCGTCCTGATCACTTTTGTCCATTCCGCTGCCATCTCAACCATGTTCCGGATGTTGGGCGCATGGGCACCCAGTTTGAGCATATCGCATCTTCTAGCTGGCTGTGCTCTCCCTGTTGCTTGTCTGTATTCGGGATATGCACCACCAGTTCCAACGATGCATCTCTGGGGTTCTTGGATCCGACGTGTCTCTCCAACCCCATACGCGATGGAAGCCCTGATCGGCAATGAGTTTGATAACATGGAACTGCACTGTACGGACTCGCAGCTGATTCCATCAGGCCCTGGCTATAATGATATTCGCCACCAAGCGTGCCCGATGCAAGGGGCACATTCTGGCTCAGCAGAGGTGGACGGAGCTGTGTATGCATCCGGCATGTATGGATACACTCGTGCTCACCTCTGGCGCAACTTTGGTATCATCATGGCCATGTGGGTTCTGTACACCATCATTGGTGCAATTGGCCTTATGGTGATGACGCGAGAGAACGGTGGTGCAACAGGCCCGGTGTACAAGCGAGGTGTCCTCCCGCCACATGAATCTTCATCTGAATTCAAAAACCAAGCCACAATAGTAGAGACAGAGACAGGTTCAGAGAGCGAGACTGACGTTGCAGAACCCATGGATGTACCTGCCCAGGAGCCACCAGCTGCGAAGGACTCCTTGACCAAGCAAGATCGTGCATCGTTCACTTTTGACAATCTCAGCTACTTTGTGAACGTTGGAGGAACGGAAAAGCAACTTCTCAATCAAATCTCTGGATATGTCAGACCTGGCCAGCTGACCGCGTTGATGGGAGCCTCTGGGGCAGGGAAGACTACTCTTTTGGACAACCTCTCTCGACGAAAGACTGACGGCCGTATGACGGGTGATATATTGCTGGGTGGCTCCCCATTGGGTCCCGCCTTTGCTCGCTCCTGTGGATTCTGTATGCAGCAGGACATTCACGAAGCATTAACAACCGTGCGGGAAGCGCTACAGTTCAGCGCATTACTCCGTCAACCGATTGAGGTTCCTCGATCGGAGAAGCTCGCATATGTCGAACATATCATTTCTCTTTTGGAGCTTGAGACGATCGCCGATGCTCTCGTGGGAGCTACCGGTGATGGGCAGTTGAACGTGGAGGAGCGAAAGCGGGTGACGATTGGGGTCGAATTGACCGCAAAGCCCTCTGCCCTCCTGTTTCTCGACGAGGTAAGCTTTTATTCAATTCTTTTTTAAGGACTCACACTAATCTTTCAGCCAACATCCGGACTTGATAGTCAAGCTGCGTACTCAATTGTTGCTTTTCTGCGCAAGGTCGCTGCTGAAGGAGTTCCTATCGTCTGTACGATTCATCAACCGTCTGGTGTCATATTTGAAATGTTCGACCATGTGATGCTGCTTGCCCCGGGCGGTAGTACAGTCTATTTTGGAGAAACAGGCACCAATGCTTGCACGATTACGGAATATTTCGCGAGATCCGGTGCAGTGATGAGTGCCGAGGACAATCCAGCCGAGTTTATCATTTCGACAGTGACTGAAAAGGGTACCGACAGTAAGGACTGGGTACAGGTCTGGAATACGTCTCCGGAGAGACAAGCCCTCCAAACCAAGATTAAGACGCTGAACTCGACGTCTTTCTCTCCTGTTACTGAAATAGGATCCGACCGAAAGGGCCAGTATGCGCTTCCTCTCACGGCACAGATCATGGTTCTCACTCAACGGCATTGGAAGGCTGTCTGGCGCAATGGACAGTACAACTTCAGTCGACTCTTCAAATCCCTCTTCTTCGAGATGTTCGTCTCCTTTACCTTTTTCCACATCGGGAACGATAGTTCAGGTCTTCAGAATCACATGCTGGGCATTCTACTCGGAAGTTGGGTCATTCCTCTCATTGCGGCAGACGTGCACGCAATGTGGTATGAGAAGTGGTCAATCTTTGAAGCGCGTGAGCGTAACGGAATATACGACTACAAGGCACTTGTTTCTGCGTTGGTTCTCGTGGAAATTCCCTTCAACATTGTGCTTTTCACCCTGATTTTCTTCGTTTCTTACTGGACCTTCGGTTTCGCCAGCACTGCCTCTATCGCTGGCTTTGTCTACTTCATGTATCTGCTCCTGGCTATGTTTGGCCTGGGATTCACATATCTTGTGGCTGCATTGTTTTCAAACGCCACCATGGCTGGTTATGCCATGGCTCTGCTCTGGGTCACGTTGCTCATGTTCTCAGGCGCTGCTAACCCGCGGAGCGCACTGAACTCATTCTACCACCCTTGGTTATACTGGGCAGATCCATTGACATACTTCTTTGAGCCCACCGTTTCCACTGTCCTACATGGAGTTGAAGTCCAATGCTCTGCAGATGAAATGGCTGTGTTCGACCCACCGTCTGGCCAGACCTGCCAACAGTATATGACAGAATATCTCAATACTAACCCAGGGAACCTCACAAATCCCAAGGCAGATCAGAGCTGCACATATTGCCCATATTCAGTCGGGGATGACTTTGCAGAAACGCTGCATTTCTTTTACAGCGATCGGTGGCGCGATTGGGCTGTGCTTTTAGGATTCTGCTTGACAAACATTTTGCTGGTGTTCGTTGTTACGTGGTTCTTTAGGGTCAAAATGCGACAGTGGAAAAAGTAGCAGGGCAATTTTGCTTTTTCCACTGCCGCATTCATAGCGGTCATTGTATTGAAGAAGATGTATGGTCAGTTCTGATTTCCTCAGAAGGAACTGGTCTTGCAACATCATACAACGAGTCTTTATTTAGATTAGTTTAGATTAGATATAGATTGAATTTCAAAAGTTATTTCCACTCAATGAAAGTACACTCCTTAATGTCATCAAACTCAACATTGATTTAACAGATCGAGATTGTAACCTTCCAAAATGGCACATTTAGATAGGATTATTATGATCGAAGGAAATAGCCGGTAATTAAAAGAGAAGCCACTTAGGATTACAATTAATATTTCATTATTTCTTTAAAAGCAGGAGTTCGCCTACATTCCGGGATATCTGCACCCCCAGTTGTGTACCTTGGGCGGTACTACCAGATCACGCACTGCAATAGAAATAGAATTAAAATAACTGTCGGCCTCTATCTCCTCTGCGCTAGTTTTTGTTGTTGTTCCGAGTCACGTTTGCCGAGGTATTCGGGGTGGATGAGGATGAAGCAGATGTATGACGTGCTTCAACAATGAGGTCCTTGCACATGCTGTTGAAAACGTCCTTTGTGACATTCTCGGGAATTGAGTCCTTCATAGTCTGGTATGTGAACATGACTGACTTGAGCTCATCCTCAAGATGGTAGAGCATAACGAACATTGCTCCGAAAGGATGTGGTTCCACATTGTGTAGAACAAGCTGGTTGTATTGAGCTAAGTAGGCAATGATAAATGCATCTGCACTACTGAAGTCGGATCTCTTCATGTTGTGGAATTTGATGACTTGACGTCTGACATTGTCCGCTCTGCGAACAAGAGTCTCCACTTCACGCATCATATCATCTGCACGACTCGGGAAGGTGTCAACACCACTTTCGAGAATTGTAATGATCCCTTGATCAAGTAAACTCTCAATCCATCCGCAGGCGATCCTCGACCAGTACTCCCAGATGTCGTAATCGGGATCTGTCTCTTCTGGTCGAGGCAACTTGTAGTCGGCGACTTCGTGGATTCGGATCATCCTTAGCCCGTACTCGATCTGTCGTTTCCATCGAGCAAGGTTGCTTCCATCAAGGAGCAACTTGATGCCTTTGTTCAGCTTGATCGTTTTCTCTTCTGGGAGGTTCGTCGCTTGTGTGCGTGGCCTTATGACGTAGGAAGCAGGCTGCTGCTGCTTCTGCTGCTGCTCTTCTGGAGCAGGTGCTGGTGATGATGAGCCCTCACCAGCATTGTCGTCCTCACTGTAGTCGGTCATTCTGACTGGCTGTTTGTGTCGAGAAAGTCACAGCGAGCCAGGAGAAGAGAGATCAGCAATGCAATGATATTGGTGCTGACTGCTGATGAATGAGAAGGGGAAAAGAAGAAGAGGAGAGAGAGAGGAGACTATCTTGTATTTGACATGTGACAGTCCTGACAAACAAGGTCATGTGATATGATCCCAACAGCGGTTGTGGATTTTAGAATTTGGCTGTTGCTGCGTGGTCCGATCACGGTGCGAACGCAGAATTTTCACTGTCGCACGTTTGGCGATGTGAATAACACTGGAGAATAATGGGGATGATCTCGGGAGACGATATCCTCGGTGATCAAAGTGGGGCTGCGGGACGGGCCGAAGGATGTCCCACAAATGCCGAAGATTAAAATTATGATTGGCCAGAATAATTGAATTTCGTGCTCTGGGACCGTGCTGCCACGTGACTATACTAACAATAGAAGTGGTCTAATATAAGGTCATGTGACGCAGATCGGAAGTTAGACGGAACCGAGCGGTGTCAACTTCCGAGGCATTATCCGTCACCTTGCTCATAGCCCGAAATAATGTCTGCTCCCGACATTACTCGGCTTGTAGGCTCTCCTCGGATCCCTCGTGCCCATGAGCGATGCCGCTCCCGCGAGGTCCGCTTTGATAGCAATATCCCTTCCATGACCTGTAGCCCGGGAAAGCTGCGGGAGGGTCACTGACCCAAGAGGGGTATCACATAGGAATTTCGTTACTACTACCAATCGCAATGAGACTGGGTGCACTTGATTTTAGCTATGTACTAAGTCCTTGTATAAACCATCTTCATTTATCCAATCCGAATAGTATGATGCTGGTAATGGAAAGTATACAAGAGTGAATGGGCCATGACATGCACTGATGTGCGGTATTAAACGTATGGTAATTCAATAGGAAGTATGGAAATAAAATACAAAGATAATTTATGTCAAAACTCAGTCCCTCGGGTTCTCCCCACGAATCCAATTCCAGCAAAGGGTAAAAGTAAAATTTCTCGGGTGTTCCCCGGATAGCCCCCTCCGGTTCTTTTTGCGTACTTCCCCATATCCCCACAGATTCCATTCCTAATTCCCATCTTCAATTTGTGTGAAGGGTGCAGATCAGGTAGATTCAACAACTATATGCATTTATCACTGCTGAGGCTCTCTCTATAATCCCCACTCATCATGACCAAAGAGCCGAGCCCCTTTGAGAACATACCGAGTAAGTCTTTGCTGGCCACATGTTTATTTTTCATCATAGGGGTTCTAACTTTATATTTGAAGACAATACTTCTCCTCAATGGTACAGAGATCCAGGTTTGAGGGCGAATGTTGCCCATTGGTGAGTCTCAATTCGGTAAAGAAATCTCTGCCATGACCTAACGGGAGCTAGCCTGGGGTTGTGTCTAGTCATATACTATCTTGTGCGTATGTCACGCTTCCAATTATATTATTCATACTAAACAAGTTAATAGGGCTGTCAGTTCTACCACTTCTTTCTTTGTTCTCCCTCATTCCGGGGCTGACTTCCTTTAACAGATGATGCCGGCCTTCTGAATGGGTTACAGGCTCTCGAGGCTTGGAACAAGATCTTCGATTATCCCACAGGTGCCATACTCGGTGTCTATGCTGCGTCTTTGTATCTCCCTTCAATAATTACCGCGTACATAGGCGATATCCTATCCCAAAGATATGGGCGGAAATTGGCCTTGGCCGTCGGATCCGTTATTGTATTTGGTGGAGCGCTGTTAAACGCATTGGCTAATAATCCAGGAATGTGGCTTGCAGGTATATCTAACACTAAGCCTCTCTACATGCCTTTGTATTGATGCTTTTCTAGGTCGTGCCATCATGGGTGCAGGAGGTGGTATCTCTAAGGTGGCTGCACCCGCGCTCATTCAGGAAATCGCCCATCCCCGACTGCGCCCCATGCTGGCTTGCTGCTATTACCCATTTTTCTACTTCGGTAGTCTGCTTTCTGCACTACTTTGTTGTATGTCTGCGTAACCCTTTCCCGTTTTCTATCCATATTGACGTTAATCCTACCAGTTGCGGCGCTATATATACCAAATGACTGGTCGTGGCGAATGCCTTCATTGGTGCAGACTGTTGGACCTTTGATGGTTCTAGTTACATTGATAAGATGTCCAGAATCTCCCCGTGTAAGGATCCCCACCGTTTTTATACCATTGGATCGATGATTAATGTCTTGGGTTCAGTGGCTTGTTTCAAAGGGGCGCGTGGAAGAAGCCTCCAATGTGTTAGCGACGTACCATGCTAACGGAGATACTGACGACTATCTTGTACGTTGGGAATTAGTCACAATCGAGACATCAATCGAGAGCGAAACTACAAGCCATAAAACTTCCTACTTGGACTTCTTCAGAACGAAGGGAAACCGTCGACGCCTTGTCGTCCTTCTCTCTCTGTCTATAGGAAGTAATTGGGTCGGAAATGGCATTATTTCCTAGTAGGCTTCTTTGCCAGTCACCATCTGAACATGTTAACTGACTATTATATCACAGCTATCTTACACCGGTGCTTCGGTCAGTTGGAATAGAATCTCCTGTGAAGTTGACACTTCTTACTTCGGGACTAGGTAGGCAAAGACTGTGGCAATCATTTATACATAGCAATAGCAGCTGGCTAACGTGTGTCCTTTATAGCAATATGGAACTTGATCCTTGCATTCGGCGCTGCACTCAATGTCGAGCGCTTCGGTCGTCGTCCTTTATTTCTCATTTCCATCATCGGAATGCTCCTTTCTTACGTGCTTGTCATGGGATTATCAGCCGGCTTTGCAAATTCAAACAGCCAGGCTGTGGGTACAGCAGTCATACCTTGCTTGTTTATGTTAGTGGTTCTCTCAATCCAGTCTTGAAACTAAGACAGGCTAATGTAATCCCGCCAGATATTACGGCTTCTACGACATCGCGTGGACACCGTTACCTGTTCCATACACCGCCGAGATCTTGCCCTTCAGCTTCCGAACAAAAGGTCTGGCACTTTTTACGTCTTTCGGTACAATGGCCAATGCTTTCAATCAATTCGTCAATCCTATTGCCTTGGATGCATTGAAATGGAAATAGTAAGTGTTTTTCCTTGCGAAGGGAAGGAAGAAGCTTACCTTTTGCAGTTACGCCGTGTACATCGTCATATTATCTTTCTATTTGGTGTTTGCGTATTTTATGTACCCGGAAACAAAGAACCTGACCATTGAAGAGGTCTCATTGGTATTCGACAAGACTGATGGCGATATTAGACGGATGTATCACAGTGCAATGAACCAGGTTAAGGAGGGTGATATTGAGAGCCCTGAGCATGAGGAAGACGTGGGAACGAAGAAGGGATGCGCCAATCGTCGAAGCATTGCTAAAGTGTAGCAACGATATTGTTTTATTTTCTTGGGGCCATCCCATCTGAAGAAGTGCATTATTACCATAGCAAATAACATTATAATGGTACATTTGTATATTACTCATTCGTGCTCTGATTATTCACATTTACCAAGAGCTCACTTATGTTTTGTCTCGTTGCGAGGAAGGTCGCACTGTGCGTCGTCGCTTCGCCTAGCCCATTAAGAAAGAGGAATGAAAGGTTGTGGGATATTCAAATATTGGGCGAGGTCGAGGCCCGAATCTTCCACGAGAAGGTCCTGACCAATTAAGGCACTGACATCGAAGTCCCAGTTCAGATCGGTGGGGCCAGAGTCCAGCACCGAGAAGCTGTCGAAGAAATATTAGTTAATAACAGGTACATGAGCCTTAGAAGGTGAGATCATACTTGACGCCAGTTTTACCGGGTTCCGCATCGACGGACATACCGGCATGGCGTGCTAGGTCGCGGCTCAGGCGGGCAACCCAGCCGCAAATGCTGGTCCGGGAAAAGTCATTGGATTCTAAAAGTTCGACTGCCTTCTGGAAATAGTGTGTCAAGACAAGTTGGTCGAATGGCAGAGGAAGCTTTGCTCGAGCGGCAAGGAGACGAATGAGAAAGACCGCAGCTTGGCCTAAAATGAGAACGAGATACTGTGTAGGAAGAGAGGGATATGTCAGAGGCTTCACAAATAGCTGATGGTCGGTACCCACATCTGGGCCAAAGCGGATGATCGTATCGGTATCAGATCGCTCTGTGTAGAGCTGGACAATTGCGACAGCTGCTTCACAGGCTCTGGTCAAGCATGGTACTGCTATGTCCCTTTGGTGATCTTCATCTATTGCATGTGCAGCAAAAAGATTGAGCGATAGCGAATTCAAGCATAATCGGGTATGCTCTCCGTATATTTGGGTTAACTTGGCACGGCTTCCCAGCGAAATGGCACCGTATGAACCTAGAGTCATCAGTTTCAATTGAACAATCAATAGTGAGCATACTGACCACACCAAGTCCATTGAAGTTGCCATTTGTCTAAAAGTTTATTTGTTGTAGTCAGAAGAGCCGACATGCTGACAGGCTGGTTGAAATCCCTCGGGGACTTTGGTGGTAATCGCGCTTCGCGTAACCCAGAAATCAAATCTATTGCAATCTAAATTTTGGATTAGACCAAGTGTAAAAAAATGGAGCGACATAACGAAAAGGACTTACCAATGAAAGCTCTGCTAGACTTGTCACATACGTCGCAGCCGTAGGGTCGATATGAGTTGAGGATCCTAGCTTGCGTACAAAGGCAAGATATTGCTGAGGGCAGGTAGGTGGGGAGGAAGTTGTATGAGGACGGCCAAACCCAAGACTCAGAAATATGTCATATCTATGAAGTGAGGCAGTTAGTGAGAGCTTAGTCTAGTGACGGTTTAGAAAATCACATACTGATGAACGATTAACCACGTGTGCCATTGGCATATGATACTACTCGCCTTGTGAATATCATCGGGGTCGATTTGAGTCGACTCCAAGACCCGCGCAATCAGCGGGAGATTGACAATGTCCGGTAGCCCAATACGATGCGCCAGACGGGTACATAGGCCGGTGACCATCCACTGATCCGGAGATTGACCCTTTCCTCTTGGGATCCATGCAGAAAAGAGGACGGCGGCTTGTACATCTGATAGCTGATGTTGTTTTCGGACAAGGGCGAGTCCAAGATGTGAGATAGCGAGATCATTAATTGCCTCAATGTCGCTAACGGTGATATCCGGTAAGCCGGCTATGGGAAATTCGATATCTCGATATTTGGAATAGTATCGGCCAGCAATCATCAGAATGACGGTGAATAGAAAAGGAGATGAGTATTGCATATGGCTGAAATAGCTCTCAAGGCCATTGCCCGGTTCAAGAAGCGGTAACAATGGGTGACACTTGTGGAAGAACCTACAGGGTTGATGAGTATTATTATTTAAAGAAATAAAACTGACTGGGACTCACAATCTGAACAGTGCCCATGCCTGCGATTCTTTCACAAGATGCTCCGAAACCGGATCACTCTCCAAGTTGACCCTGGCAGTATACTGGGTCATACCGATCGCGGACTGGTCCCTTAAACCCCCTTCGAGGGTGACCTTTACCGGTTCTCCTGACCATGCAGTTGGGTGACCCATTAACGGAGGGAATGGAGCCGAATTTTGCTGCAACGCAGCCCATCGAGACTGAAGCCCTTCTGGTCCTCCAGACCTAACAGGGGATGCGTGTGTTTGCTGGGAAATAGGTGTTATGGGCTGATTCGAGGCAAACAGATTGACACCGGGTTGGGGAGCATCAGAGGACGCCAGGGCTATACTAGACCCCATATCAGATGATGGATCTGCGATATCCCTCACACTTGGCGTCATCTCGTGCCTCGGAGCGAGTGGATTGGTGTCACCCCAGCTGGGCGACGCGATTAGAAAGCACCCATCTAAAGGAGGGCCGGATGACGGCTGACGATGTGCTGAAGACTGCACGAAACTACTGGACTGCTGTGTAGAATTCAAATGACTTAGACCAGCTACCAAATTTGTGACTGTCCTCTCGAGCTGTAAGAGGCGTTGGCTTGTGACAAAGGGACCCTGGTTGGAAGACGTTCCTCGGTCATCAAAGTCACACTCTATTTCGGATCGCTGGCATGAAGTGCAGGGATGACCACCCATACATCGTAATTTTTTGTTACGACATCTCTCACAGGCCCACGTGGCACGTTGAGCTCGAGGCTTTTGAAGTTGCCTTTCGTCGGTAGCGATTGAGCCACGACCCGCCGAACGATAACGGCTATCGGAGCGACGGCCTCGCTTTGATGCTGCCGCAGAAGTAACTTGGTTGTCTGACATAGGGTTATATTTATCCTATTTTCAACGTTGAGCCACAAGTAGGAAAGGGAAAAGTGAATTGAAAAGAAGGGAAAGAGGGGGAACAAATGGGGAATGGGGGAACCCGAGATACGACCATGTAGAGCCTCCAATAACTATCCTATATTAAGTTTTGACCGCTTTTCATACCGCCTTGTACACCGTCACCTCGATTACCTCTTTCGTACAAATTCTCGTAATTACAACATAGTCTTTTGACAGAAATCTGACGTATTGAAATGTATGGACCTCAGGGCTGATATGGAGAACTCTGCATTTTCTACATAATAGAAACTGCTGTTTCTGTGCGGTTATTACTAAGCATGATTACATAATCTTCCATGGTATATGGTATCATCCCATGTATACAACCTTGCAATTTGACACACCCCCTAGCTCTTAAAGCCTGCATTTTCTTAGCTTTCAGAGCTGCTAAATCCTTCATTTCTTCACTTCTTCTAGATAAATCAGATGCCTGATTTCTCTCATCCTAATCATCTCTCGGAAGAGATACTGCTTCTATCTTAGAAGCGCCTTTATAAGTCTATCTATAGGCATCGCTGTAATTAGAACCTAGTCTACTTTGACTCTACCTATACTAACTTCCTACTTTATTTAGGATCGATTAATATCTATATACCGCAACTTCGTATATATCGTCGATCCTTCCTTTATTAATAGATCGACTGTCTACTAATTATCGTATATAATAGATAAGAGATAATCTAGTTAGAAGCCTAGTACTTTAAGGACTCGGCGCTATTATTAGACGGTTTTTCCGGCTTCTACTAGAGTAAGAAGCTCTATCTTAATTATCGACGTTATTACTATCTTTTACTTCGATACTTTCTAATCAATTAGACCGCCGTATAACTTATAGATATAACCTTCCGAACTCTTCCGGTCTTTATTATCTCCGAAAGATATATCGCTTATAAATTTAATTAACTTTATAGTAAACTAGAGACCCTTTATTTCGTTTAAACCGAGATTATTATCTAGTTCTTATTATTTAATATTATACTCGATAGCCTAAAACCTAGTTTTATAGAGGTATTAAATCACTCGGTCGATAGTATCGATATACTTTAGACTAGGGTTTATTAGAAACTTAGCTAGTCTAGTTATAGCTTTTACTATATCTAGCCGGGAGATAGTAGTAGTATACTAAATAGATCTAACCTTAGCCTAGAAACTATAAATCTAACTCGGTAATACTACTCTATCGAATAGAAGAAGGGGTTTAGTTCCTATACTTATCGGGGACCCTATCTTTCTCTTAGTAATTAAGTTATACTTAGCTACTATACTTTTAATATAATTATCTTAGTATAGCTAGAGTTTTATCTAATCTCTATCTCTAATAATACGGATATTTAAGAACTAGTTTACTTCTAGTTCTCGTAATTCCTATTACTTCTTAATATTATTATTTAGCTTAGCTACCTACTTAGTATAATAAAGATCTAGATAGTTTATAATAATAATATCGTCTATATAGAAGAAGACGATAATACTATTCTTAATAAAGATATATAGATCTTCCGGTACCGGGATAAGGCCTAGTTTTACTAATATTCTTATTACTTCTTACTACTATAATCTTAGTAATATTCGTAAGCTATAGAGAGCTCTATAGAGTAGTTAGTATTAACCTTATACTTCAAATCCTTATAGATACTTAGTATAAATCTTACTTTAGAATACTAAGTTTAGGAATATATTAACTACGTCTCTCTATATTATATCGAGGTTAAAAGCTACTACTAAGGCAAAGATTGCTCTCGCTATTTTAATAGCTAGGGTAGCTACCTTTTTCTCTTCTATCGATATCTATTAAAGATTACCTCTAACGTAGATTCTCGCTTTAAACTTCTCGAGAAATCTATCTATATTAAATTTATAGGTAAAGACCTATTTTAAAGATAGTACCTAGATTCCTCTTTAATTCGGAATTAGTACTTTAGTATAGGTTTCTTTCTTTTTAAATATCTAGACTTCGAAGCTTACCGCTACTATAAATCTGAGACGATCCAGAGCCTCTGGCGCCTGGGGGCGTTCTTCACGAACCCCCATCGCCAGTTGACGACCGGCTCTAGTACGCGGCGCTAAGGGTATTTGGGTTCGACCTAGAAGACCCCATATACTAGCCACCCGGTTAGGAGCTCTATAGGGACCGTTCGGTTATAGTTGACTTACCACTAAGTTTACTAGACAGCCTACCGCTATTAGCGGAGTCCCTATAGTTCTCCCCGAACCGACTAATTAAGTATCGGGAGGAAGACGACTATAAACTACCGTAGGGCTTATAAATAGAGGAGGAGTAGGAGATAGGGGAAGGGCTGTTTAGATTATACCCGTCGGGATTACCGCGCCCGCCGTTTAATTATTAATAAAGTAAAGGGTAAACGCGGGACAGAAGATAATAAATAGATTAATCGAGGGATTACTTAATTAGGCTTAATTACGATATAGACTTCCGTTTATAAATAGAGGAAAAGATATATATATAGCTAGCTAGTTATTAGGCCTATCCTTTTTCTTTTTATTAATAAGATTCCGAGTTAATATATATCTTTTTCTAACTAACTAATTAGTTATAATTAGTATTATTATATAATCTTATTAATTACTTTTACTTTTATTTATATACCTATACGTTAATTAGATATCCCTATATATATCTAATAAACTAAGTATATCTTTATACTCCTATTATAATATATTATAGCTAGAGAACGTACGTTAAGATTAAGGCCTTAGGCGTAAGATAGCTTACTTTTATTTATCCTAAAAAAAGAACGTAACGGATAAAGAAGTTCGCTAAGAAACGCCTAGGAATTTTCCTAAAGATAATAATATTCTAAAAATAATTAGAGAAGAAACGCTAAATATTATCTATCCTTCTTTTAATTTAATATATTCTCTATTAAAATTAATAAAAGAAAAGAGTCGAATTAAAGAATTAAATATTTTTAATAAGATCCTAAATATAAGCTTAAAAGAGCTAGAAGATCTAATCCTTAAATAAAATTTTTTAGATTTAGTTCGCGATAATCCGCGTCTTATATAATAATATCTTTAATATATAGTCGAGAAATATAAGCTATAAAAATAGGCGATACTCGCCGAAGAATAAAAAAAGGCCTATAAAAAGACTAAAATAAAGAAATCTAAAGTTAAACTATAAATAGATAGACTTAAAGCTATTATATCTAAACTTAAAAAAAATATAATAAAGGAATTTAGGTCCTTTTAATCTTTTATATAAGATATAAACCCCTTATAAGATCCGAATCTCTTATAAGGATCCTCTAAAATAAGATCCTTAGGAATAGAACCCTCTCTAATAGTACTAATCGGTAAGCCTATAAACTTTATAGTAGATAGCCCTATTATCGAACGATTAGCTTAGATACTATAAAATACTACCCCCCTAAACTAAGAATAAAGCGATTAATTATAACTATCTTTAAAATTACTAGACCCGCCTCTATTTATAAATAGTAAGTAGCCTCTTTTTAAAAAAATAAAAAATATTAATTCGAAATAAACTCTAAGCGAACGCGGATTACTACCCTATAAACTTTCTAAAGATTACTTATATTATTAACCGCTATAATAGAGAGATAATAAAATATATTCTACTAAGATAATAGATCGGCGCGACCTACTAATATTATAATATAGCGGAAATTCTTAAGTACTTAGATAGTATCTATAAAGACCTAAATTAACTAGTTAACGCTAAAAGAAGCTACTATTTACTAATTATAAAAAAGAGGGATAAGTTCGGATAATTCTTATTTAAATTCTATTATCTAATAGATAAAGTATAGATAGACCTTAATAGCCGAAAGAAGGACCTCTACTATAAATTTATTATAGATTTATAGAGGTTAGTTATCGCGGATATAAATAGGATATCCTTATTTAATAAGTTTACCTAGATCTATTTATAGATCTTTAATCGGTTAGATATAATTATTAATTAAGAAAAAAAGAAATCTATATAGAACTAAGATAGTAGTAAGGGAGGCTTAAAAAGCTATATTATTATAATAGTTACCTCTACTAACCTACTAAGAGCTAAAAATAGTAAGACCTTAAAAGTAAAAACTAAGATTAATATAGTAAAATATTATAAATATAGAAAAAATAAATATTTTATAAAGAACTATTAGTAACGAAAGATAAAGATAGTAACCGCGACCGAGTAATTAGTCCCGATCCTAATAAACTAAATAGAGGAGCTTAATAATTTAATAGAGCTAAAAAACTAATACTTTTAGGAAAAATCTCTTTTTTAGGTAGAATAGTCGGTATTTAGATATTTAATCTTATAAAAAAGATATTCTAACCGGACTAAAATATAATTTTTTAGATATAGCTCTTATATAATATTTATACTATTACTATTATAGTATTAGTAGATATAAGGACGGATTATTTTATTATTATTAATATAAACCTAGCGATTCTTCTATTATAAAGATTTAAGACGCCTATAAAAAGATTAGAAATATCCTATCTAATTAGAGGATTTAATAATTAAGATAAACCGATAATTATATATCTTATTAAGTTAATATTAGTTATTAATAGCCGACGATAACTATAACTACCCTACTTAATTACTAATCTTAGAGCTATAGATATTATCCTAGGCCGGCGCTAGCTAGTATATTATAATATATTACTAGACTACTAGAGATATAGTCTATAATAGCTAAGAGAAACTATTATAATTAAAAAGGTAGTAAGGAAGTAGAGTATAATTATTCTATAAGAAATCTTAAAATAACTAATCTTAAACCTAGTATACTAAACCGATATAGAACGACGAGAGTAGAACGCCTAAATAAAAAAACGCGGTATTTATTACTAAAGACTTAAAAAAAGGACCGATAGGGTAATCTAGTTAAGATAGAGCGTATATTAATTAACCGCGAATAACCCCTAAAGTCTTAAAAAGATTAGAA